CTCTAGATGAGAAAGGGCAATGTGCATGTATGTAAGTGAGAGATGTCATGCAGTCAGCTCAGGGCCCAGCGCAATCACGACGCCTCAAGTCTGTCAAATCAGCGATATAACCACCCTCAAGAGGAAACGAGAGAAGGCTAGTGAACAAACTAGGTCAGCTCAACAGGTCGATTCTAGAAGGTATGCTCGATATGCCTCGGGCTCGGCTCCAGCCCCAAGTAGATCATTGAGGTTCAATGCCGTGATGTGTATCAGTGATTGGACCGTTGACGCGACGTCGGTTTCCAAGTGCTTACGGCAAATGTAACCCGTCTAGGATCTCACATGCAGCAAATAGTCTGCTTCTCCTTTTGATCCTTTAATCCCCATGGCTTTCACTTTGGTGATTTGTGGCAGCATTCACGATCTGCGATTGGTGCTCTCACGGTTTCCTTGGGAGAACCTAGAGGCTGAGCTTTTTTTCTCGTCTGCTTTCGCCTCTTCTGAGTTAGCTGGGCATTTGTTGGCATTGTAGGATTGATATTGAACATGTTTGTGACTAAGAATATGAGAGAAGGAGCAAGGCTGTTCTCTTGGATTCATGACGATTCAATTCTTTCTTGCGGAGTCAACGATGCCCTGTCGTCGATCAGCGGTGTGGGATATAAGCCGGTAGCCGGAAGCACAACGCAGACCCCAAAGAAAGGGGAGAGAGGCAGACGATGGTACTCTACTGGCGTCTGGTCCACGATTCTCCTCTTCAAACATATTCCTTTTTCCCAGTCCTTTCCTTATACCCACCTACCTAGACTATGCTCACCTCTCATCTCTAACGTTCATCCACTCGTCCCCTTTCCCCCTCCCACCATACGCCGGACGTCCCCAGCCATGGTCCTAGAGAGCCTCGACACCCAGGAGCCGACGGGGCCCGCCGATGTCAAAGCCCTTGCCGTCGCCGCCGTCTCCTCCTGCGCCGTCGTCGAGGACTCGAAGACGGACACGTATACGGATGAGAACGCCATCCTGGCGAGGTACGGACTCGAGAGGCGCGCCGACGGCTTCGTCAATTGGCAGCGGGACTGTGCCATGCACCCGCGGAACTGGACTACCAGGCGGAAGACCTTTGATACCACGGTCATCATTCTGTTTGAGCTGTACACGTGAGAGAGAGCCTTTTTTCTTCTTTTTTGTATATGCTTTCCGTAGCTGACAGGTTGAAAAGTACAATTATAAGCACAACTGGAGTATGTGATCACACCACCTTACCTTGTCTTATATTGCCTACTCCCCATCCCTATCGAACCCTACCGAGATGATCTATATTGCGGCAGGAACCGAGCAGCGTGGGGGTGTTCGTTGCTACACCAAAGTCCCATATGCCTGCCTTACACAACACCATCAACCTACCCATCAGATACAGAGACAAAGACCGAATGATATGCTAACAAGGCTCCTACACAGGCCGTCGCCGCAACCGAGGCGGCTCCAGACTATGGTCTCAGTCGTCAGGTATCTCTGGTGGGCTTCACCCTCATGTGAGCTTCTCTCTCTCCCTCCTTCCCAGTTCTTCTAGAGAAGCAGTCCTGACAGCCAACACTAAAAGGTACCAGCTCGGTCAAGCAATAGGCGGCTTCCTCATCCCCCCCTTTTCCGAGCTCTTTGGCCGCCGCCTCCCCTACCTCATCTCTTGCGCCGCTTTCTGCCTCGCGAGCCTCCTCACCGGCCTAGTCCACGACCCGGCAGCCGTCTCCGCAGGCCGTTTCGCGGCGGGGCTCGCCTCGGCCGTGCCGTCTGTCGTCATCGCCGGCAGCGTGGAAGACATGTTCAACACGAAGCAACGGGTCTGGATCATTGTCCTCTGGAACGCGGGGACGACCGTCGGGCTGTGCTTCGGCCCCGTCTACGCCGCGTATATTTCGCAAGCGGTCGGGTGGCGGTGGATCTTCCACAGCGCGGCCGTCGTGACGGCGGTGCTGTTCCTGGCCATGTTTGGGATCAGGGAGAGCCGGCCTAGTATCCTGCTGGGGGCCATTATCAAAAAGATCCAGAGGGAGAGGACTACGACGGTGCGGGAACTGGCGTGGCATAACCCGGACGAGGCGCGCAACTGGCGGGCCCTGGTCCGGATCAGCGTTCTTCGACCGGGCAAGATCTTGCTCACGGAGCCGTTGGTCGTTATGGTGGCGCTCATCTCGGCGTCGTCGTGGGGCATGATTTACCTTTTTACCGAGTCGCTTACCGTTGTCTACGTCTCGCTCGGGTTCACCAAGACGCAGGCGTCGCTACCGTTCCTGGCCATCGCCGTCGGCGTCGTTTTCACGTTCCTCCCTCGTCTGTGGGATATGAAGGTCGTCCGAGACCGCCAACGGAAGCAGATTCCCATTCAGCCGTGAGTCTACTCATGTATCCCTCCCATCCGTCCATCGAGATCTCTCGAGGCTAACCTCCCTTGACCAGAGAGGACAAAATCATCGGCTTTGCGTTCGCCGCCCCGGCACTCGCCATCGGGCTGGCGTGGTTCGCGTGGACGGTCCCACCCCTGGTGCCGGGCGTCCACTGGGCGGTGCCCACGGCGTCGCTCGTGCTCGTGGGCTTCGCGGTCAACGAGACGGCGCACACTTTGAGCGGCTACCTGGCGGACTCGTACCTGCTCTACTCGGCGTCGGCGTTCTCGGGTCTCGCGCTCGTGCGGGCCGTCGCGTCGGGGCTGATGCCGCTCGTGGCGCACGAGATGTACGCCGGGCTGAACGCCAACTACGCGGGCACGATACTGGCGGGGCTGGCGGCCGCGTTCTGCGTGACGCCGTGGGTGTTTTTCCGGTTCAGCAAGAGGTTGAGACAGAGGAGCCCGTTTGCGCGGTTTAGCCTGGAGACGCATTACCTGACCAACGTGGAGGAGAATTAATAGATCAGGTGCGATTTTCAAAAAGCCATGAAGAGAGGTGAAGCGTCGTCTTGATGCCTGGCAAAATCACAGTTTGGGCTTAGTCAATCGGCGTTGACGTGACCATCGAGGAGGGAAGATCGTCGTCGGCCGAGTTTCGACAGGGTTGGGTGCGGTGGATGGCGCACCTTATTCGGTGGGAACCAGTGGGGAAGGCGTTCGTGGTTGCTGCGACGAACATGTGTTTGCGGTGTTTTGGTTGACTCCAGAAAATGAGGTTGATCATACAGCCCATGAACTGTACGTTTCCTGACAGGAAATCATCAATGCCAATAACCAGTCGCCTAACGTTCAAGTGAGGCCTGGATATCTTCTGGTTGTCCGGAATAAGGTACCTATGCTCAGCTAGCCATTGTCAACTCAAAGTGAGACAGAATGCTCGGGCCAGTGTAGCATGCATTCTGCATAACCCGGCAAAGCCACAGGGGAGTCTCGATCTTGTCCGAGACATGCCACAGAGATGAGAGACTAGACTTATTTCCTCCCCTGGTCAATCCTCTGACGTGGGCTCTTTGTTCCAGACGGGAGCTCCATGCCAGTTGGCATTCCTGAGATGCATTTCCTGCGGACGTTCAAATGTTGTTGTGTTCCCTTTTCCCTTTCAAGTTTTCATGTTCTCCCTTGGGACCCTTGGGAGAGATTCTGGTCTGGGCTCTTGGGTTGCGCAAAGACCAACTGGAGGGTTGAGAGAGTGGGTGAGTGAGTGAGAGTGAGACCGTGAGACGGGGCTGGCGCATAAAAATAGCAAATTTGAGGAATATTAGCGAAGAGGCGGCGTTACTATGTACGTGTTTGACGAGGTAGCGAAAGAGGCCGGTGTCAGACCACTTTGTGAGGTTACTAAGGCAGGTAGGTACCTTGGGTCCGTACTTTGTATCTTTGGGCTCGGCCGACCTCCACATTTGGTGACATTCGGTGGACGTCATAAGGTATTAATCAATGAGCCATCCTTGGACGTGGATTCGTTTCTCTATTTCATCTCGTGGTTTGGAGACGAATGAAGTCGGTACCGAGAAGGATCGCTTTGCTGCCTCCGTCGATAGTCGGACATAAGCCAACAGCTCCTTGACTGCAAGAGCATGTGGAATTGGGGAAAGAAAAGAAGTCCAAGTTCGACTGTTGGTGGAATCCCAACTGCAACTGGGAAGAACGATGAATATCCGGATGGTACCTTCCCGCTCCGCTGACACCGCCGACCAGATTCGGTAATACATTGCAGAATGCCACGCTGATCCCCGCTGCTAACCGGCGACGATACGGAAAGGGAAGGCTTCGAAAGGGACGCCAGACATGTCTTTCAGCCCAGTGTTGCATACCTGTCCTGCACCAAATACAGTGGCCACGGCAGGCAAAGGAGATATCTTACCCGCAGCCGACCTAACAAATTGGGAATGCTGTGACAATCCAGTGTCAGGAAAATGGGGACAGGCCACTGAAGGAGAGTCAGAAAATGCAAAGGGGAAAAAAATCAAAAGATCCAGGCAATTTGGGCTGAGTTGGAACGAGGCAAGCAATGTCCATCAGGTTACAGGCTTACAGCCCCTGCGCCTGCCCAATGATAGGTAGCACCCGAAAAGGCCCCAGCGCAGGTGCCCAAATTTTTGGCTTCCGCTTTGCCAATCCCACACCAGTGGACCAGTCGTGCCAGTGTACCTGTGGATCCACACTTTCCCCTCGCACCTCCCCCTCCAAAGTGCGGTGCTTTTGGTCACTTTCGGTCATTTTGGTGTGGTTTTGGGTGGGTAGGAAGTGGGAAGTGGGAAGGTGGGAGGGAAAAAAAGTGTCCGCTGCCCACAGCCATGTGAATGAAAAGTCATTCAGGTCGCTGGCTGACATGGCCTGGCCCTCTGGTTGGTCCGCTCACCTTTGGTCCGCCACTGTCTTACTATGGTACTTGTCATTTGTACCTACCACTTGTACCTACCTTACGCCGAAACCCCCTGTACCCAGCCTGTGGGTGGCCTGTCCCGAGCGAAGGAGGAACGGCTTGGGCGGGCTGAATTTTCTTGAATTTGTTAAACCTTGGAGCCGGCCTGTTTCCATTTGATCCTTTCTCCTTTCCCTTTCTTCAACAACACCATTTTGGTGAATGCAACCACTCCTCCCTCTGAAAATGCCTTGTTGACTGACCGACTACTCAAGAAACCCGATCAAACACCAATGCCTAGTAAAAACGACACTTACGACATCACTTCTTGCTCATTCTTCCGCCGCCAGATGCGCCGAAACCCGAGCCACCAAAACCTCGAGAGAAACTACGAATCTGACCCGCGCGACGACCCCGAGCGACGACGAGGCACGATCTCCGTGCTTCACTCTTATCCATAACCCTCCTACCAAAGTGACGGCCACTACTGGTACAGGGCGCGACCGGGACACCGACGCGCGCCCCTCGTTCACGAGCAATCCATACTTTTACACGGAGCGGCCACCTTAAAGCCTTGCCCGTAAATCACCACCACCACCAACCCAGCCATGATTGCCAAGGCGACGCCCGCACTGAACACGGTGCGCGGCTTTCAAAACACCCCCGTCACTTCCGGCGATGAGGATTCCGACTACGGCGTTTGCGCTACCCCGCCTCTCTCCGCGAAGCGCTCCGGCCGCGCTGCCCTCATCGACGATGTCGTCAGCGCCAACTGTAGCCCCAATATGCGCGGGGCCTCCTCCCCTGCTGTCTCGGGCATCGCCAAGCTGCGCTTGCAAATGGAGCCTCTCAGCCTCGACAACTCTTCCCGAACGAGCACCTTGACCCTCAACGGCAGCAACGGCCACGGCGGCCTCTCCAAGGGGCTGGGAATCAGCAGTGCTGTCATGAGCCGCTGCGGGAGCCAGGACGGCAGTCAGAGTGAGGCTGGCAGCGAGCGTTCCGAGACCGGGTCTACGAGCTATGAGGTCAACCTAGAGCATGACTACGTCGACGAGAGCGTTCGAGAGCGAAACGGACACATCGTGCCCATCGAGGGCAGCAAGGACGTTCAGCGTAAGATGACGGCCGACGACTTTGATCCTCTCCGTTGCCTAGGAAAGGGAACCTACGGTACCGTGCTTCTCGTCAAGCAGCGCAACACCGGCCGGCTTTACGCCCAGAAGCAGTTCAAGAAGGCCTCCCTTACTGTGCACAAGAAGCTCATCGAGCAGACCAAGACGGAGCGTCAGATCCTTGAATCGGTCAACCGACACCCCTTTGTCGTCAAGCTCTACTACGCTTTCCAGGACCACGAGAAGTTGTATCTGATCCTCGAGTACGGCCAGGGTGGAGAGCTGTTCACTCACCTGAGCACTGAAAAGATGTTTGCCGAGCCCGTCGCTGCCTTTTACATGGCAGAGATGCTTCTGGCCATCTCGCACCTGCATAGCACTCTGGGTGTCGTGTACCGTGACCTGAAGCCCGAAAACTGCTTGCTGGATGCCGAGGGCCATCTGTTGCTCACCGATTTTGGCCTCTCCAAAGTCGCGGTTGATACCTCAGAGGACCACTGCAACTCGATGCTTGGAACTGTCGAGTACATGGCCCCCGAGGTCATCCAGGGACAGAAGTACGGAAAGGCGGTCGACTGGTGGTCTTTCGGCGCGCTGGGCTATGACTTGATGACTGGCAACCCGCCCTTCCGTGGCGGCAACCATGCCAAGATTCAGCAAAACATTGTCAAGCAGAAGCTCGTCATGCCGTACTTCCTGAGCCCCGACGCCAAGGATCTCCTGACGCGCTTGCTCAAGAAGGACCCCAAGAAGCGCCTGGGAGCCAACATGCCCAAGGACCTGCAGACCATGAAGGGCCACCGCTTCTTCCGAAAGATTGACTGGAAGAAGCTCGAGGCCAGAGAGGTCGAGCCGCCCATCCAGCCCATGATCACCGACCCCGAACTCGCCGAGAACTTTGCGCCCGAGTTCACCGACTTGTCCCTGAGCCCCGTCATCACGGCCAAGGACCCGTGGAGCGCCATGTCGGCCAAGGAAGATGACCCCTTTGGCGGCTTCAGCTTTGTTGCGTCGAGCAGCATGTTGGAGAGCCACGCGTTTCGATTCACCACTGAAGTCTAGATTGTATTGTCCGTACACATCAGCAGCGCTAGACGAAAGAATATAGAAAGATCTGGGAGTGCTAGGCGAATAGCATGGGAAAAAGTCTGGGAGCCTCATTGTGAATTGGCGCGGCCACTGGGCGCGCGCAGTACGGAGTTATAGAAGCAAAGCAAAGTCCGTTTAGCCTTGGGGACTGGCAGTCTCCAGGCCTTCACTGCCTCGTTCGGTCCATGAGCGACGGAACAGCCGAAGCATCGAGATTCGTTCTGTTGTTGGTTGTTTTTTTTCTGGTGCGCATCGCTAGTCCGTAGTTATACTTTCCCCCCTTGTTCGGTATTCATTGGGCGAAGCATCGTCACGATAATATATACGAGTTTTTTCCTGGTTGCCTTTTTTGTTGTGCCCCTGCTTCCTCTGCTCCCCTTGCTTCAAATACTTTCGGCGACAGGCGCATATCGCGCCAAGCTTCAGTTTTGCTTTGCAATCCAGTGGCTGGGATTTGGTCTTGGTCCTGGCACTTTGTTGTATTCCGTAGTCAACCGCGCGCGAGCGAGCGCTTGCTTGGCAAATTCACAGATCTCAAGAGGGGGGGGGGGGGGATGTGTGTTTTCCTTCAAGCCTGGCCTGGGTCCCTGGGTCCCTGGGTCCCAGAGCCTTAGGACCTTCTTGGCGGTAATCTGAACGTTCGGGAAACCGAAAAAAAGGCCATGACTAGCTGCCAAGATTTCCAAGACCAAGACGCCGGGGTGGGATTTCGTAAACGGTGAAGGCAGGGAGTGTCAGTCGGGGTATTGACTAATAGGTAAGAGAAAGTCTGTTCATCCTTTCCTTACTAAGACAAGAAAATACCAAGAAGAAGACACCGAGAAAGGTAAAAAAAAGATGGGATTACGCAGGCCTCGCTGGTGATGTCCTCTATCTTGCTTTCAAGCTAGAAGCTAGTCTGTTGCAGAGGCCTTACCTTGGTATATTGTAAATCAGTGATATGGGGTATAAGCTTGCAGCGTTCGCTGCATCACGATTCCGAAGTCATCATGTGTTAGGTCGCGATACCTTGCTTACCTTGGCCCGGGCGGGTTTTCCCTGAAGGTCAAGAGGTTTCGGTACACGGGAGGTTTTCATCCTCCAGGATCGATTTGCGCAGATGATAAGTAACAAACAACGAGAACCCGAATGCTCCGGCGTCCAAACCGCTGCTCCGCGTGGAGGGAGGGGTGCATATGTTGAATCCCAGGACTTCGGATTGCTGGCCTCGAGGATCTGGAGCATGTTGTCGATGCATTTCGGGTCATTTTTCTGATTGCCGGGCTGCATAATGAAGGATCTCGTTACTTTGGCATCAAATAAGTGTGCGAATTGTTTCATGAGCCAGGAGGCCGAGGGCCATGTTCTGAGCGATGCTGATGATTTCAATATCGGATGGTTGCAACGTTGTCGATGCTAGAAGTCTCTTTTTGCAATGTTTTTGCCAATCGTCACTTTCTCGCTTGTCAGACTGAGGAAAGGTGAATAGAGTATAGCGCAAACCAGGTCCATGGTTACACTTGTTGGCAATCCGTTTAGACCAGACGGACAAAAGATCTTACCAGGGCAGGGCAGTATTGACCACGTTGGATTTGAAAGAACAGGGCGAGACTAGATAGAACTTGGCGTCGTTTGCGCAAAACTCGTACCCGCTTCACTCCTGACTGACAGCAGTCAACGGGAAATGTTTTGCGCCCAACGAAGCTTGGACCGAGCTTGCATTTACCTGTGATCCTGGGCAGAGTGGTCGCTGCTGGGGAATCTGGCTGGAATCTGGCGGTGACATTCATTCGTGATCGAGCTTTGAAAGCTACGCTGTTGATAGGGTATGAAAACAGTAAATGAGCGGTTGAAAGAGCCGGCGCATTTGGCGGAACTATCGGACCCCGGGGCGCCATATCGAACAGAGTCTAAATCCGAATACAGACTGAGGTAACCGGGGGATTGGGACCCGTGATGTTACATTGTCCTGAGAAGTTTTGACCCAACGCAGAAATAAGGTAGTCGGCTAGCCTGCTCGTGGGCCATTGGAGTCGAAATTGCTTTTGACGTTTGCTCAGCCTCCACAAGCTCTGCCCTAAACAATAGGCTAGACAGCATGTCGTGGGATTATGAGCAAATCGTGGCCGTGGTGGTTGCGAAGGTGGAGGTCGCCCCGGAACAACTCATATACGGCGCGGGATGATAGTTGCACCATCGCCTAAGCTCAGCGTTGCAGTGGACCTTTCCCCGACTCGCGGGCGGCCCATTTAGTGCAATTGCTGTGTAAGACTGTTGGTCAAACTGGGGAACGGGAGCAAAAACCTCCCATCGGCAAGGTGAAGCCCCGCACTCGGCCCCACACCGGTAACGGCTGCCGTATTGGGTCATCGAGATCGTCACGAGGAGCCCATATTCGATGTGTTCGCTGTGAGCTCAGGTTGGTATGATACGGAGTAGTCAAATAGAGATCATCGGGGATTTGAGTTTCGCTGGCGGCGTCACGACAGGCTGGGGTTGCTTTTGCAGCATGGCGAAGCTGGCCGCCGTTGCTCTTGGAAAAAACTTTGCAAGTCGTAACGAGTTGCCTTCATGGTTTCACGGTCTTGTCGCATCATCATCTGACACTATCCAGTACTGGGCGTATCAACCATGCCGTCGTTGTATCGAACCCTATTCGAGGTACAGTGGCCAGGAAGTCCCTGGGTCAATCTGTTTTCGCGAAGGTCTACGTCCAGTTGATAATGGGCATACACTGGCAGTGTTTTGCGAGGGTGTAAACCCAGTTGATGGGTGTAAGTTCGACTCTGTGATGCTTAGATTCCCGCCAAGTCAAGCCTATGGGCCCCCTCACTGGCTATTGCAGATCGAGCCCGTGAATATACTAGATGTGACGAGTGCTGTCAAGCAGAAGCCATTGGGATGCTTTTGGCTTGGCAATGTGGTTGAAGCGTGGGGTAGATCCCTGAGCCACACCAAATGACGCAACTTTGAAGCTGCTTTCGGTTTCTGCACTGGCAACGACGATGTACGATTCAATGTCTCCTTGAAATTTGTGCACCTTGGTGTTTTGTGTGCTGTCTGTGACCTGCTGAGAAATACTCGGCCATCACTGGCCGTAGACGGAATTCGGGCTTGCAGCTTTGACACGAACAGGCCTGCAAGTCAGCCGGTATCCGTATCTCAACTTTTCCGTGTTGCAGATGTTGAAGGGCCGCGCCGCATCCAAATAACACGACCTTCAACCGTCCAAAGTAGACGACAGTCATCTTGGGAATGCAGATTTCGGATTGAAAGGCATCGTTACCTAAGCCAAGGAACAGCAGGAACCGGCAAATGCCTGCTCAACGTCGGACGAATAGACAGAACTGTATTGTTGTGAGCTCATACCTTGCAGTAGCAAAGTTTCATCTTCTGGACATGGCGTCAAGAGCGGGCGGATCGCAAGGCTCAAGATCAAATCCTTCCGAGTTTAGCAAGGAGCTTGGTAGCTTCAGCCATCCTAGTAGCTTTCAACAAGGTCTAGACTGATGATATCGACCACTGTCGGCGATCTGCTATCCTTCTGGCCCGTCTCTCAGCACTCTGTCCGCTTTCTTGAATTGGCAAGAATGGAACAAAACATGGAAGCATTGCGCGTCCTGCATCGGTGCTAATCTTTCTTGTGCCACTGGTGCCGTCTTAGTGACAAGATTTGGCAACCCGGGACGGGTGTGCGGATGCTTAGTTGGACGGTTTGATCGCCTTTGCTTCCCTAAATCTGGTGTGCAGGCTTCACCAGTCCGTGAGCCTTTCTCACACCCACATGGTTCAGTAGAGACCGACTTACACGTGTTTGGGCATCGGAAGGGTCGCAATCCTCGGCCAGCGGAAGATGGGCCTTGACCGACGATAGGATCTCGAAGCATTCCAAGGGTGAGGCCTCGCGGGAACGAAAATAGGATTGTCCATCCTTTCGGTGACAGTGAAGGCATCGGGCTGAGACGCAGGAGCAGGGGGATGTTGGGAAATGCCGAAAGCTGCGGCTGCCGTCAGATAAGCCCCTTCCTTGGCGACAACGTACATCGTCAGCAAGCCTGCTGGAAATACTTGGCGAGAATGCTATAGGCGCATGTTGTGAGTCGTGAGAGTGATCAGCTATGATGTTGGGAGATTGTAGATGAGCACAGATCTCGAATCGCCGCGTACCTCAGTGGTGCCGACTGAGCACAGGTCTCGCTGCGTGTTCTAGGCACTTTCCCTTTCGATACACCGGACATTCTTAGCAGGTGGGCGTCATGAGAATGGAAGCAAAGCCCTGGATTGATCCTGCCGTGAGTGAAAGGTACTTGGAAGCCTGTGAACACGCTACGTATCTACCTGGGTACCTGAAAACATATGAGATGCTGAGGTGCCTTATCTGCGTTCAACTGTACGTACACAACATCTCAGCCAACATGCAGGTGCATCTCGGGCTGTCTCTACGGTCTACCAAGTGCATCATGCGCTTTCCAACAGCTGTCACAGTATTGGACAAGGCGCATGGTGACGATGGATGCAACCCGAAGGCGCGGCTTGGTGCGCTTACCCTAGCGATCGGTGCTCCGTTCCACATCTTTTATCTTTCCTCTGGTTCAATTCGCCCTCCACGGTCCAAGCCAAGAAAAACAACATGACATGCTTGCGTATGCTTTTCTCACGCTCCAATGTCCGATAGTTCTGCCCTCTACTGTGTAATACGGACAATCCCAAGAAACACTGTTTCTGACCAAGGCTTATGGCAGCAGACACCTCAATCACCCGCGCGGCATCTTTTTGCCTCCGGGAGGCTGAGCCCGCCAAGCACATCCATTGGTCTGTTCACCTTGACCTTTGCTCTTTTCCCAACTTCCCAGCATGGTCGTTGCCTTTTCAGCAAACTACGCACGCACATATGCAGGGTATCGAGAGCCATCAACAACAGGCGTTTCGTTTGCAGTTTCTCTTCGCCTGCCAGGGCTACAGGTACTCCCCTACCCTCTTCTCTCATCTTGTTAGAGTTCGTGCCGGACAACTGGCTGCCCACGGCCCCAAGAAAGACCAGCAGAAACACCCTGCCAACCCACTAGTCCCATCTGCGTAGAACTCTGGTGCTTCCCGCCAGGATGGTCCCGGCCCGGACCCTTCGACGGCCATGCTCTAGATGGCATCTGATTGTTCACACAGATTTGCGACTCCCTTACTGGGCGAGCAAGCGGAACTTTCTCTGGCCTACTCGTCACTAACTATCTTGTACATGTCAACTATTCATGCCACTGTGTCACAGCAGGTTCGGTCAAGGACTCAATGGGAACCAGATGCTCTCTCCCAGCAGCCCCCGGACGGACCAGGACTTCCCCTTCGGCATTGCAAGGGCTGGGCTAATCTCTTTGCCCAATCATATCCATTCCAATTGTGTCTGACACCCTAAAAGAGAGTAGACCGCATCCAAGACACGCTGCAGGGAGTCAAATTTACGACCTGGGGAGCCTGTGCCTGATTAGTCCATCTTCCCATTTTTTAGGCTTTACTGGCCCGGGGAACGTGTTGAACCGACCGGGTCCGTCGACGTGGGCCCAACTCTCAGTTTCCCCCCATGGCTGGCCATTTGTCTCTACGACACGAAGCTAGCAAGCTACTAGCTGTACTATCAAGCCGACAGCAGCTCCTCATCTGCGTGGCTGTGTTAGCCAAGATGTGCCGCCAGACACATGCTGATCTCTAGCCTTCTCTAGAGCGCCTCCAACCAAAATCACAAATAATACCTGATGGCAGAGTGTTCCGATCCAGCCTGCAGCCGGCCAACTTATGCGTCGGTTACAAGTGCCCCAGGGGTCATCCCCTGCGTGGCTGGACCTGTCAGAGAAAGTCGACTCTCACTGCCCGCACTCCCCCAAGCAGAGCGCAAGCAATGAAGGGGTGGGCGTGAAGGATGGAAAGGCATGGGCCAGGGCCTGACTCTCGGAACAGACTCGAGAAGTAAAAACGGGATGACTTTGTGCTAGTGTATGAAGATGTCGCCAAGATCTCATGGAAAACGACGTGGAGAAAGAAGAGCAACTGCCAATAAACGCAAATCATAGCAAAACGGTTGGCAAAGGGAGCAAAGCCACGGTGAAAGCTCCGGCCCCTCTCTGTTCGCCGCTTTGAACCTGGCATCCGCACTGCACATCTCCGCCATCGACTACCACGGAGCTGGATTGCCGTCGCGCGTCCGTCACATCTTCATAAGAACCCCCGGAGCTCCCACCCTTCTACCCTCCATCCAGACTCCAACTGCCGTGTCACTCCAACATTCAGTCCGGAGCCTCCCTGCATATCACAACACACACCAAATATGTACGTTACATCCCGGCCCCCACTCCATCCCGCTGTCTTTGATTTAAGATCCTCTGAGGCCTCCATGATAGCTTTCATATAGATCTGAACTAACATAACCAACAGTCACAACCACGATACACACGCCTTATCAGCGAATACGATGAAGGCCTTCGCAGCTTCCTCTCTAGCGGCCGCGCTCTGTATGTCTTGAGCCATCCCTCCCAGACCACCGATACTAACACTTTCGACAGATGCGGCGACAGCCTCCGCTGACGCTATTCAGGCGTGCCCGAATACTGATGTCTGCTTCCGCGTTGCTGTCCCGGCGGCTTCGTCCAGCTCCGGCAGCGGCAACATGTACTTCCAGATGTCTGCTCCGACCAGCTACCAGTGGATTTCCCTTGGCACGGGTTCGTCCATGTCCAACGCCAACATGTTCCTGATGTACGCCGACGGAAACGGCAACGTTACCATCAGCCCCCGCACTGCGCGCGGCCACAACATGCCTACCCTCTCGTCAAGCACCACCCTCGAGCTTCTCAGCGGCTCCGGTATCGTGAACGGTAACATGGTCGCCAACGTCCGCTGCACCAACTGCGCGTCCTGGAGCAGTGGTTCCATGTCCTTGAACTCGGCTTCCAGCTCCTGGATCGCTGCCTGGAAGTCGGGCAGCGCCCTCAACTCTGCCAGCACTAGCCAGAGCATCCAGCAGCACGACGAGCACACCAACTTCAACCTCGACCTGACCCAGGCGACAGTCCAGACCGACAGCAACCCCTTCACGACTACCTCGGGAAACAGTGGAAATGGAAGCGGCAGCGGAAGCGGCAGTGGCAGCGGCAGTGGCAGCGGGAATGGCGGCTCCACCAGCGGCGGCGGTGGTGTTGTATTTAATGGAGGCGGTGGTGTTTCGTCCAAGGTCCTCCTCGCCCACGGGATCATAATGACGATCGTGTTCGTTGCCCTTTACCCCATCGGAGCCATCCTGATGCCCTTGGTAGGCAAGTGGATGGCTCACGCTGCTTGGCAGTCGGTTGCCTTCTTGCTCATGTGGGCCGGCTTCGGCACTGGCTACGCTTATGCTCGCGACAACGGTTATGTGAGTTGCTTTTTTTCATTTTTCATCGTGAACCGGGAGATTGCACTCCCTCGGGTCGTTTCCAAGACCCTCCACAACCCAGATATCCAGGATCGCAGTGCTGATACCGCGTAGCTTTTTGCGCAAACCCATACCCTCCTGGGTACCGTAGTTGTTGCCCTCTTGGCCGTGCAGCCGTTCCTCGGTTACGCCCACCACGCCTACTACAAGAAGTTCCAGACCCGCGGTGTTGTCAGCCACGTCCACATCTGGTTCGGCAGAATTGTGATGATTCTCGGCATCATCAACGGTGGTCTCGGTCTCGAGCTCGCTAGCTCATCTCGGGCCTATGTCATTGCGTACTCCGTGGTTGCTGCTATTCTCGGCGTTGCGTGGATTGGATCCGCCGTTTGGGGCGAGATGCGCAAGTCCAAGCGCAACACCGTCAAGCGCGAGCAGAGCCACGAGTCTCCGGATTCCCAGCAACGCATCCCCTACCGTCAAAAGAAATAAGCGCTCGGCCTAGCTTGGCTCGGGGGTTTGTTATGGATGGCGGCAAGAATACAGAGGGAAAAGACCATATGGGATACAGAGAGTAGCCTCTAATTTGTTTTGTATAATCGTTATACCACAGGTGGCAGTGTGCCGACCTTGCCACGTCTACGAAAGATCTGGGCCGCAGTATGAAGACACGGCAATTCGGGTAGAGCACGGAGTTTGTGGCGTTGTTGGTGTTGGGTTTCTTGAATGATAGCTTGTGCAATATCGATCACTTGATCTAAACCACCGATATTTGCAGGTGTGATGGATAGTCTTACAAGCTTTGAACACGAGCCCTCGACTATTTGTACGCATCGTTGTGTCCTTCCATTCTAATCTGATACGGGTAGTATAGCAGGGTGAGCAACGACGATGAAAGTTACAAATATACCGGAAAGCAAGAGAGAGAAAGACGCCTTTCCATCAACACACTTCTGCAATATCTTGTCGCTTGTCTCGAGAACAAAACCAAATGGATCAGTCGAGACAGATATCTAGCATGGTAGATGACTGAATACCGAATCAGCTCGACTTCGAGCTCAGCGTACAACAGCAGAGACACCTGATGGTGACGAGAATGACGGAGTATGAGAGACATGGATGTATGAGGTCATGCACCAAAAAACCGATTGTTGCAGCTGTGAGAGAGCTAGCCCGGATCGCCAGAGGAGCTTAGGCCAAGCTTGGTCCGAACAAAGTGTGGCAGTTTGAACTCTCTTGGTGCGTTCTGGTAGGTGTGCCCGGCGTCAAGTGCCAGCCTATGATGTCGGCGGTGGTGGTTTGGTGGAGGGGGGAAGTTGACGAAACCGTTCCTTCTTGGCTGTCAATTACTCCCAATGACCACCTCTTCACCAGCTAGCAGTCGCCTTCCCGACCAGATCTATACCAGAAAGAAGATGGGCAGCGCACGGTAAAGTGTCATCGGTCGTTTCCTCACGTGATATCAGTCCACCCGCCTCCGCTTGTTGTTTCCCCGACCCGCTGCAGCAATGCGTGAGAGGTGGAAAGACGTGGGAAAGTGGGGAAAGGCAGCAAGAGAAAGACAGACAAGTTCTACGCCTGGAGACCTGAGGCATCCACATCGCAGCGGTCGGCTGGGAATCATTGCGTCCAACCAGAACTGAACCGGCTCACTCCAGCTTTTTACTGTCCCATCCCGTACAAAACCCTCAACCACCCGTCGTCCGCCTCCCTCCCCCCATCCCCCCCGGTGTCCCCAATTGAGCCAGCCACCACCCACATATCAAGATGCTCGTCCAATTGTCCAGAGCCACTGTACGTCTCTCCTCTCCTCTTCCCGTTGTCGTGATGATGATGTTGTTGCCGTTGTCTTGTCGCTGTTGGCGTCGGCCTCCGTTCGGACGCGCGGACCGTCGGTCGGAAATCAAGGAAAAAAACTGACGACTTTGTGCCCAAACAGCGCGCCGCTTCGGCTGTCTCTCGGCTGGCGAGGCCCAGCGCCGTCCAGATGAGGGGATTCATCGCTCCCACCGTTTCCCGCAGAGGTTCGTCAATATTTCTCCCGTCTTCGATTTCAATTGCCCCCCCAAGGAGGAAGAGCGAGGTTGCGTTCGATGCGAAAGCGTTGGCCATTTCGGGTTGCCGGTGCGGCTAAAGGGAGGCCAAGCTCCGAAGCTGGGGAGTGCGCCTCGCTGTCGGATAACGATATCGGTCACGCAAACCACTTGAACATACTCGCCGTCCATCACATTCACATCGACCGTCCTACGCCAATTAATGGCCTCCTACCTCTCCGATCCGCCCGTCGCTCCTCCTCCCCTCTTCTTCCCATGCCGTCGCTGTCGTCGTCGCCCCAAAAATTCTTGCTCCGAACCCGTTTCACTAACCTGCAATCCCCGATACAGCCGACTTCGTCCAGGAGCTCTACCTCAAGGAGCTCAAGGCCTACAAGCCCACCCCCATCAAGGAGTCCGACTCCCAGGGCCAGGTCCAGACCTTCTCCATCCCCGCCACCCCCAAGTCCCCCGAGGAGGCGGACCTCGCCGCTAGCCTGAAGGAGTACGAGAGCATGGCCGTCGAGGTCGAGGGCCAGGACGCCACCGCTGCCGCCAACGGCGAGCCCGTCAAGCACGACTGGCTCATGATTGAGGAGGATGAGGAGGAGCCTCACCACTAGAGCGCTTCGGCGACGTGCAAAACCGTTATTGGAAAAGAAAACAAAAAAGTTTCAAAACGAACCACACCGTCCCGGATTCCCCCGCCGAAAAGATAAACATCGTCATCAATCCTCAAGTGATGGGAGGGAAAAGTGCTTTTCCGACCTTGGCTTCTGGGTTTGTAACCTTTGCCGCTTGCTCCGAACCGACCAAAAGGAGTGGGAAACGTGTTTTTGTGATTGAGAGGAAAGGAGAGAAGGAGAAAGAGAGAGAGGAACCCTAGAAACGAGGGGAAAGGTGTGCTGGGAGGTGGTAATCCCGTGTATATTGTCCAACTAAACCTCGCTGGCTAGGAATGCTATTCGCATGCGCTTCAACATCCTCGGTCCCTTTGCTTATGTGAATATGGCTCACGTCAATCATATGTGTGATTTTACCTGGACGTTCTCGACCAACAACCACCATATTCCTGCAGCTCCCATACCAAATGGATCAATACGACCTCATTGTGTCTGTTTTCCAAAGTGACAATTACTGTCGCAAGGGCATACCTGACCCTGGGCCTCGAGCGAAGACATTGTGGGGAACCCGGAATCTCCCGAACAGAACCACCACCACAACACAGAATCGTCGTCAAGCAGAGTGTCCTTTATCAAAATACCTCTGATGCTCGGGCAATGGTGGTTCCTCAACACACAACTCGACGGAACCCCCGCCAATTGCTTCCACCAAAAATTCTCGGGACGAAAGAAAAAGAGTCATCTACATTATGCTACGGGGTCTTGTTTTCAATGCACACTGAAGGTGGGTTCGCGTAGTTCCTGGGACAACAAACAAACGATGTCTGATCCACAACGATTATTATGCTGGCTACCGTTTTCAGAAGTAAGAGGGTGGACGGGATGATTTACTGCTTGCTACCCACCTTGCCTTTCTTTACTTTCCTTACCTTATCTTCCTTCCTTAACCTTCATGAGTTCTTCTTGATGGCTATTTTCATCCTTGTCGCTACTCTCCTTTCTTGAATCATCTTTACCTACCAAATTCATTTTCTTCGAGGAAATACATACTGCCAGTCAGAATGGTAGCTACAGACTTGGCATCTTACACATCGGAGAATACATCCCTCCGTTGTCCACGTGTATACAGCTACGAGGTTGAACAGTTGGTAGCATAACCTTCCGGGCATACGACCAGCCCATCTGTGGATTCGAGTACCATACAAAAACTCCTTTTCCTCTATTCCCACAACTGCAGGCCGCATCGGCAGCGAGTCATATCGAGGAGGGGGAAGTTTCTGCGGCATCGGCATGATCGTTCTGTTCGCTGATGAGGTATTCCAGAGGCACAAGAACATCAGCAGTGGTGATAGAAAGAGTGATCCTCACTCATGTGTCAATCAGGGACGTTACTGTATGGTCTATTGGTAGTCTTGGGCGTCGCTACGACACAATCACGTTGGAAGGACACGTCAAGAGAACCTAGTGTCCTTTTTGTCTTATTTTTGTTTTCAAATATAGCTAAAGCTAATTAAGCAGTATTACAGACGGCTTTGTGTAGAGCTGATCGCTTTCCTCTCTCACTTTCTTTCCGTTGGCGGCCCCTCCTTTCCTCATCGGTACCGTCCACCACCCGATATACTGCATGGTTGTTGACGATCGATACAAGGGTTTGTCTGTTGGATATCTAGGCATCCATCAAAACCCCCCTGATTCAGTCTCCAAGACCCATGAACCATAAGATTGCCCCAAACGCTAAACGTCTGTCGCAAAATCGCAGTATATCCTATAGGGAAGACCAATTTCCCCTCCTCCCCTTTGGTACCACTCCATTCGTGAAAAACACATCCTCACAAAATGCAGCGATGCCTGTGTATCAGCCTCATGTATTATATGCGGATGATTCCTGTGGCAACGACTCGTGGGAATATAGAACAACCACATCATCCGATAAAGGCATCAGAGTCACCAGCATCAGCATCAGCGAGCGGTATGCAGAGCCTATTCATGAGGCCTATCGTCGTTGTAGTTATTGTTCGTGTCGTGTAAGTAAAGCTCTTCGATTAGCATGAAAAGCAGCATTCTGAGGGGCCGATCAGGAATCCGAATGTTCATCGCTTCAGCCCAAAACGCCATGTACCGATTACACCCCCCCAGGCCCAATGATCACATGCAAGGTTTGACCGCCCTTATGCACTGAAATCCATGAATGTTCGTTTTTTTTGACTTCGTAATGATGATGACCGTGTTTTGCTTCTGCAAGAGAGAAAAGGCTGTGTGTGATGGAACTTTTCTTTGTCCTCAAAATAGAACCCAAAAACAAATGACCCAGAAGTACCTTTGGAAAAAAAAACCAGAATGCACAAAGTCATTAAACGTCAAAGTGACCGCCACCAATCATCTGCTCTTCGTTGGTGGTTGTGCGCACAATGCCGCTCATGCGATTGCCTCTCTGGTTCATATCCTCCAGGTCATCCCAGTCATCGTCCTGGTGGTGAGAATCACGCATCTCTTCGTCATCGTAGCGGCCCTTATCTCTCATGTGATCGTCGAGAGCGCTCTCGTCCACAAACGTGAAGCCCTGGAAGTTGGCCTGCACAGAGGGTGAAAGGGGTGTCGATGTAGCGAATCCCTTGGACAAAGCAGCCGCCCGTTCATTAAGTGAGCCGTTGTTATCAAGCGCGTTGGTAAACTCGGGGTCAAAGTACGACACATCTGTGGCAGAGGTCAACTTGGGCTTGAAGGGAGGTGTGATGAGCTTCTTTGCCAGAATGTCCCAGTCAATGTCGGCAAAGAATGGGTGGCGCTTCAACTCCTCCGCATCGTCCGTCGCACCAAGTCTGTGCTTGGGGTTCCTGTTGAGCAGGCCCTTCACGAAGTTGCGACCCTCCTGTGACAAGGTGTCCCGAGGAAATCTGACCTTGCCAAAGGCGATGTTCTTGTATATCTGTTGGGTGTCCTCCGCATAGAAGGGGCTCCAACCGCAGCACATCTCGAAGACTAGAACTCCCAGCGACCAGAAATCCACCATCTTGGTGTATCCCGACTCGTCAAGGAGAACTTCGGGAGCGAGGTACTCGGTTGTGCCACAGAATGTATTTGTGGTATCGTTCTTTGTCAAATTGGCCTTTGACAGGCCAAAATCACAGAGGGCAATATGACCATTTGCATCGAGCAGAATGTTCTCTGGCTTCAGGTCACGATAAACGATATCGTTGTTATGGAGGTGCTGGATGGCCAAGATAAGTTCTGCGATATAGAACTTGGCTCTGCGCTCATCGAAACGTCCTTCTTTCTGGAGATGCCAGAACAGCTCACCGCCAGACATGTAATCGGTAACCAGGTAGAGGTCTGATGGCGTCTGGAAGGAGAACTTGAGGCCCACGATGAAGGGCGAGTCGGACATGGCTGTCCGAACCAGGATGTTGCGCTCACCAACGGTATGGGCGACTTCCTTCTTCTGGACAATGACCTTCTTGGACAGGACCTTCATGGCGTAAATGCGTTCGGTATCCTTCTTCCGGACCTGGTAAACTTGTCCAAAGGTACCCTTGCCGATCAACTTAAGAATCTGGAAGTCTTCCGGTCCAAAGTGCTTTCTCTCCGTTCGCTGGTAGACGGCTTCCACGTAAATTTCTCCCGTAGGCGCATTCTCCGCCATCGTGTCGGCGTGTCCCTTGAGCTGGAACCAGCCACGTACTGGGTTGCTGGAGTCCCTGTTGGCCTGGAAATCGACTTGGCCCAAAAACTCCTCTCCCTTGTCGGTGTGGTCATAAACGGAAATGTCAACCAGCATGTTCGAATCAACGACATCACTGCCGGAAAGTCAGCCATCAACCCAAGTACATCAACCAGTGTGCCCACTTACAATTCTGCCTCGGCGTCCCACTTTGGACTGGTGAAGGATCGGCGGGAACGGTTGCGGAATGTGTTATAATCGGAAATGCTGGTGTTGCTGCTCTGGCGGCTGCGCATAGGAATAGACATGACCGGGCGGCCTGAGTCGCTGCCTTGTCTTTGAATCGGGATGCCTCCAAAGGAGGGGGCCGGGAGGTTCACGTCATCCTCCTCTTCAACGGAGCGCGGGCCTCCTGAGATGAGCTCGCTTCTCTGGAAAACGGCTACGACGTACGGGTCCTTGGCACGTCGCAAGCCCTTGGCCTCAACGATCTTGATCGTGAGTTTACCGCGAGCAGCGGGAACCTGAGCGCCGGTGGTGCCGCGCCGGACCGGTGTCTGAACGCCGCTAGGAGGGACCGTCTCGTTGCTGCTTCTCTTGGAGGTCGACCTCTCCTCAGCCTGAGAGGGCTGCGCCGTTGAGAGCGCCCTTGTAGGAGTTGGTGGACCGCTCTTGAATCCCGCAAACTGTGTTAGCTTCTTGAGCTGATCAACTGACGAAGAGCTGTGAAGGGAAGCGGCTTTCTGCGCTGAACCAACGTGGAAAGTGATGGGGGATGTTGGTGTGATGGGCTTGTGAAGACTGGGGTTTGATATGTGATAGGCATGCACAACCGAAGTTGTGACGATGCTTGAAGGTTGGGACATGAGGGTGAGGCTGTGGCATTTTTGCGGGTAATCTGTGACGCCTCTTTGGAGCTTCGGTCGCGCAGATGAGGATGCCGCGGACCGTGATTCTCCATATCGCAACGACAGACTTCTTTTCAAAAGTCCCGCCGACGACCGTCTGGATATCGGCGGTGTCGGGTACTGATGTGTCTGAACCAGTGCCATGGATGAAGTGTGTGGTGATGATGGCCGCTCTTCGGGGTGGGGGAGTGATGGGGATGTTGGTTCAGGATCGCCACCGGGCACAGCATCCACTGAGCTGACCTGAGAAGCCTTCCCGTCCGTCTCGACTTGTTTCGTTGAGGGACCAGGAAGCGATTGTCCTCGATTGCGATCCGACGCGACAGGGGCAGATACAGAATTGTGAGAAGAATCTGTACGAACCTGGCCGAAGTAGCTCATAATGCCCGGCAGGCGTTTGTCATGGAGGTCGGGTTGAGGGGTCGCCACCCCGGAGCGGGGCGTGTCAAAGCCGATCTGATCCGCGCCATCTTCGTCAGGTGCGGCCGCGGGAGTCCTGCTGGGGTGGTTAACAGTGAGATTCATCTTTAATTGTGGCGGATACTGCGCGGAGGAGGGAAAATCGTGGGTTGAACAACAGAAACAGAGGGATAACACGCTGAGCAACACAGCGAAAAGCGGAGGCAAAATTTAGAGTGAAGAGCTAGCTCATGACGGCTGCCAAGACCATGACCACACTTGGGTACTTGTCGTGAGGACGAAGAATTGAAGCGAGGCGGAGTAGGGAGGAGTTCTGCCTTGTGTGCGTCCCTCCGTGTGTGCCTCTGGCGGAAAAGAACGGGTAAATTTTTTCTCTCTCTTCTCTTCGTCCTCGATTGGGCTTTGGGGTGGGAAGCAAGGATGCCGTCGCAATAGCTAGCCGGGTAGGTAGGTAGTGCAGTTCGGGGGGGATGATGCAAAGGACCAAAAGTGAAGAACCGTCAAATAGAAAACATGAGTAAAGTGGACTTTTTTGTTCCGAAGACGCCCCGTCTTCATAGGTCCTCGAACACTAGTCAAGGCCTTGGATCGGAGGTTTTTAGTAAATGCAATGGCGGGGCAAGGACACTGGGCGGGCGGAGGGGGGAACAGGAAGAGGGGAAACCATTCAGACGACGCGAGGTGCAGGGAGAGCTTCAATGCTGACTTGACTAGAGCAAGAATGACTGGTTATTCCTCCTTTGGTCGTTGGACCATTGTTGGACGAGTCAGGCTTCTCAACTTTGATAAGCCTCTTGCAGCATTGGCTCTTGGACTGGCTCTGGCGTCCTGGCCATGGCGGCCCCCGCGTCGCTACACCTCTATTTGCCATCTTCTAGTTCTTGTCGCCGCATTGGCGACCGAACGAAGGGTTCAGGTAAGGTAGGTAGGTAGATGAACATGGGTAGGGGAAGGGATGGGACGAGGGGTACGTGGTGATTTGCATGTGCAAGCGAGTACTGGATGAGGGGTGTAACAGGACTTTGCACTGATGCGTCGTATATCACCCTCACCCACGACATGGTCCACGGAGCAAAGGTCAGCTTCAGGTATGCCTGCCACCGACGCCTACCCGCAGCGAACGTGTGCCGGTGGGGGGGAGAACCAGTCAAGTGAACAAGATCTTAGACCACGGTAGGATAGAGCGAGAATGGGAATGGGCTCAGTTGTTTGCAGCCTCGGACACTCGTCCGGGATCGTCTGGGGTCCCTCAGCGGTAGGCTGAAAGAGCCGTTGACGGCATCGGCCTCTGGCACTAGCCAAATGAGGAACGTCCTGACAGAAACCCATCGGGTGCAGGAAGTGAACAGGCGACAGGAAAGGCCCCTCGTTCGCCAGCCACCCCTCCATCGCCACGCTTTTGGGTAGTATGTGTCCATGTCCGACGATGACATGCCGCATGGAACGGGCAACCTTCAAGAAGAGAGGCTCCGTCCAGGGTCCAATATGCGCCGCGGGGAAGATCGGGGGTACCAATGGGAACATCAAGATAATGTGACGGGGTGGTGACAGGTAATGAAAAGCGTCGATGACATATGAGGAGATAGGGTCTCGAACACCCACCAAGCCTAGCTAGCGAGTGATGGAGACAGGAAACGGTATTTTCCATGGTTACGCAACTCCAGCTTTGAAGAAGCAACCAGGCGAGAGGCAGGCAGGCCGGGGTGAAGTCCCATGTGTAAAGGGGAATAAAGGAAGGATATCAAGCGAATAGGAAAGGCGTCACAACGCAAGCCGAATAGAGTGAGAAAGCAAGCAAGCTAGCGCCACAGCTTTGACCGAGCACGCGGTGAAGCGGTTCAATCAACTGGCCAGTGCAGGATTCAATAGAAGGGCACAGAGACAATATGAAATCGGTGTAAAAAGGGGTCCGAATAGGAGCAAAAGGTAGCAGGCAAAGAGGGTGCAAAGGGTGCAGAGCAGGGCAGAGAGGCATAACAAAAAATTGCACATACCTAGAAGTCGAGCCTGACATCATCATGGCCTGTGTCGCGCGCTTCAACAGGTCGAAGCCGCCTGTGTTTGTGTTTGCATGTGCACCCTCGGAGCCGGACATGGTTGCTGGCTGGCGTCTTTGTGTGACGGACGGTGAAGGTGAAGGCCTAGTCGAGGCAGAGGCCTGAATCCTTGGTTGACGTCAAAACAGGCCCGTGATATCACCGCGATGCCGAGGGATTAGTGGGCGCGAGAGACGAGCGGCAAACGGGGGTGAGGTCTCGCGCAGGTGTGTGCGTGCGAGAAAGAGAGAGTGTGTGTGTGAGTGAGTGAGAATGCGGTGTGAGAGTTGTGAGTTTGGTTTGTGAGAGGAAGCGGCGGCGAGTAAGATGCGGCTGGCGTTGCGGTTGCGGTTTCGGTTGCGGGTGATGTGATTTTTCGGAGGTGAAATTGGAGACTTGGATTTTTTCTCTCGCTCTCGCTGGAGGGTTGAGAAGTTGAGAGAGTGTGAGAGTGGGATGGAGTGAGAGAGAGCCGGACCACGCTATGAGATCGGTTGCCTTCAGGTTGTGTGCGTGGGAGTGGAGGCGGCAGGGTGGAGGCGGTAGGGAGGGGCGGACAGGAGCCACGAGAGGGAAGGCGTGACTGGGTCCAGTTGAGACTCGAGGTTTGTTGCTTCCTGCCTTTTTGCCGTCCTTCTTTTTGCAGGTACCTTTCCAGGTTGGTGTCCACTGTCGGGTACACAGCGCCGACTGGCCAGCTGTGGAGGCGAATAGAGGTAGGTACGCCGTGCAAGCTGAACTGAGTTGCGACTTTCCAGTCAGTCAGTCATCGGTGGAGGGGGAAAAGGAAAGGTTCAGTACCAGGCCGGATGGGACTCAGGAGGACAGAGCGGCTGCGAGCAGTGAGGTGTCACCCGTTGGGTACGGGTCACTGGACGGTACTCTTGTAAGGTAAGGTTGGTGTAGGTACCTTGAGTGCTTGGGTGCTTGGGTATCGTGAGGTGTGAAAGTGGGTCAACAGTGACAGCGTAAGGGTAGCAGCCCAGCCAGTGTCGAATGGACTGAGGTTATCCAAGCTAAGGCCCGAATGGAAGCCAGGGAGTCCGTGATGCTGGTGATGACAGCATCCAGTGAAAGCGAGAGGCTAGCCAGAGGGGCGGATCGTGAAGTGGCACCCGTACTGTGGTGGAATGTATGTACTGTAATTCTCGACTCTGGAGGATACTACTCCGTCGAGGATTCCGGTTCGTGAGGGGAGAAAACGACCCGATTCTGGGAACCTGGAAAAATTGGGTTCGAGCCTTCAAGGGTGGAGACGGACGAGTCGAAATGAGGTCAAGCGTTGTAGAGTTGGCCTTTGAGGTGAGGTGAGGTGGGAAGTTGGCCAGTGAGGCGCCCCCGAGTATTTCGTGGGGTAAATAATAAAGCTGACCTGAGTGAGTCCCTAAGGTAATCGTCGGATCGGTGAGACGAGGTGAGGTGAGGTAAAGAGGATGTGAGCATAAGCATGAGCGTGGGAGTCGGAACTCTGCGAATGGCAGGTTACAGGCGAGGAAGAGGAGGAGGTGAGGCGGAGTGAGGTAAGAGGCGTGGGAGGAAAGCGGCGACCCAGGTTCAAGAACCAAAGCCTGCTCTTTCTCTTTGAAAGTGGGGTCCTTGTGTGGAAGGAAGGTGCCTGTCACAGAGGCTTTACTCTGCACTCGATGGATAAGGTAGCCACATGGATATCATTCCCAATGGTATGGTGACGAGAGTTGTCATATGGGAAAGCCCTGCCCTTTCTACCTTGGGTCCCAGGTCTAAGGTACGGAGTATGGTAGAGGTCAAGAAAAGAGGTCAGGAATTCCGATCCATCTCTCACTTGTACGGTCGACGGTGTCAGGGAGAGTAGTCACAATCTAAGGTGCCGGTGGAAGTCGCGATGCAGGTGCAAGGTAAAGGTACGGTATTAGCCCGCCGGCCAAAAGATAACCCCACATACAGTCTGAAAGGTATCTATCTATCTTACCTTAATCAACGGTAGCATCTACATACTTTTACAATACCTTACAGAGTAGATGTGGGAGAAAGCTGGAGAAGAGTACCTAAGTGAGGCAGCACCAAGACACCAAGACAATCAGATACCGCCACCCTGTATGTGTGTGCGTGTGTGTGCTCACATACATTAGTAGGTATGAAGAAAAAGTTCAAGAGACTCCAAAGTACGGCCACTCCGTACAGAGCTCGGAATGCCGTTTTGGGGAGTTTGAGACTTTCCAAAGTGTTCTGGATTGCCTCCACAGCATTCCACAAATCAACGGCCAATCCGCCTGTGCTTACCGCGCTCTGTGCGTCCAATTTGCGCCCCGGGAATAATCACAATGCGACTGGCTGGATGACTGCATATCTAGAGGTATCTGGTATTTGCCCTGGTGAGACTGCCCTGGTACATGCTTACATACGGTAGTGTCGACGGAAGATATCTCGCGCTGCATCTCGTCGACACGTACATGCTACAACTTACAGCCCCCGAAGCCGATGCAGGCGCAGGTGCAGGTGCAGAGCAGATGCAGCAGGTGCACCTCCCAACTCGCTTGTACCTCTTGCCTCTTGCATCCGCTTCCACTTGCACCTGTAGGTACTCTTTCACGGATTCCCTTTTTGGATTCGCTTCTCCCCTTCTACCATACCTTATTGTACGTACTCGACTGCAGTAGCCATCCTCGCCTGTTTTTCGGTGCCCTCCGCCAGAAGCAACCATGAGACACGCTTTGATATCTTCCTCAGTTGACCTTGAGTTAGAACCTCGAGGTGTCTGATTCATTGCCATCCTCAAAAGCTGACTTGGTAAGTCATTCCAAAAAGAAACGCCATGTCTTCCAAGTTATACTTAGGTTGCCATCGCGCCACTCTTCGGCTAGGCTTGCTCCATTGCAGGGGAGCATTGTTCCAGACGACCTTCTAGAACAGACCCAAAATCCAGAGAGGAATGACCAGCGCCTCTGGCGCCTTGAACCAACCGCCACGCGGAGCAGACTTACCAGTCGTGCCAGGCTATCTAGATACCAATATCAAACATCATCTCCGGGCTGAGCGACACAAGTCATTGCGAGGAAAGCGCCGCATTACTACGCTACGGATGAAAGACTTTGGCCATGAATCTCTTGGGCGGGCCCCAGGGCAGACCTGTGGGGGGCTTCGCCGGCTTCCCTCCGAGACCGCCGACCCAAGGGATCCTCCTCGGGAAACCAAAACGTCGACCCGCCGGCGGGCCATCCCCCTCCATTCGACAAGGGCAACCCGCGAGCGAACCGCCGGGGTGGGTGCGCTGGTGGGTGGGCTTGACGGACGATGCGATTGACAAGGTGGATGAGTCAATAAAGTCTCGACGAACCAACATCCACATCGCCTCTTCCACCGAAGCATTGGCTGCAACATAACACCATGCCAAAGTACGGATACCTAAACTATTTCGCGGTCTCGCCCTCTCTACGGATACCCGTCCCCCATTCACGCGACTGGAATGTACAGCTACCAACACGGACAAATGACCCCAAACACCACACCAACAACCTAGCTATCTTATCACTTATCGATTCACCTCCGGCGATACCTGTACCTCAGTTGTGATCCATTCGTTACCTTGCCGAGCCAAGAAGGGGCTCTGCTTCGGCCTGCCACAACCACTCAGCACCTTCCATCGCCTTTGACGCTTCTCCATCTGCAACAACTTGAATACATGCACTAGCGGAATAAGACATAACCCAGACCTGGATTATCTCTCAGGACAATCCCAGCTTCAGCCTTCAGGATATCCGCCACTGTCTTCAGGCTTCCTTCCGTATTGTCAGCTTTTGACGCTATACCACAGTACAGAACATAGAACCCCAGTCCATTACTCAAGTTCGCCTTCACAGCTCCCATCTCTCGATAAAAGTAAAATTTCTACCGCCCACTGTGGGGTGGTATCTGGCACAAAGTAGCTTCGTGGCAATGCGGCGGTCAGATAGCCTATTGACCGATGAGTTGCCAGTGACTCTCCTGTAAGCGCTGACCGGCATGCCAGTGTAGGCCATTGCTTCTCTTAGTGTGCTGATGGGCACTACTTACTGTTGTTGCTGAACCAAGACACTTTCTCTCGATGGGGAACGTTCATGGCATGGCAGACAAGGGGCAAGACTTACAGTACTCCAATGAGGAGCTCCGTTTGCAAGCTATGCCGACTTGCCTAGAGACAGGACATCATCAGCTGTTGCGGTATTCGAGGTAACCAATCGCATACAATCGTCATAATGGCGAACACTCTCTACTTTGCTCTTCCTCCTGACCTCTACACTAGGCTAGTCAGTCAATCATTCACCTGATGTCCCCGTCCTACCACACCGACATGTCTTCAACTATCGGTCAATTCCAAGCGTACTCCTAGGCCTTGTCTTGGAGGGGCCGGCTTCGTGGCGACGACTCGCAATTCCGCTTAGCCTTGCAGCCGGGCAGGGCATAACATGGTCCTCTATACCTGTCAAACAAGAACAATGTATCGGTACCGGAGCACCGCTCACTGTAACCATGCGCTGACGTCGCGGGATGTCCTCTGAATCCTGCTTTGGATTCCAAGTGACTATTATGCGGGATTCCTGCGCCACAATTCAGTTGCCAGCACCTCAATGTCATGTCGAGACTTTAACCCCGACATTCCCCCACGCTTTGTACAAGATGATGGACATCTAACAACAATTTCCCCGCCGTTCAACTCTGGTGGAGAAGCCGTCCCGCCGCTACATTACACAAACCGGTCGACTCCACTACGTCAATTGCCTCTTTTTCGTCCTCCTTGACGTGGGCGTGGGACCTCCAAATTTGCTCCTGTCTGATCCGACGTTGCCCAGCGTTCGAGACATGGCGGCTTTGCGGGTTTTGGTCAACGAGTCATTAGGCTCGCTTCGCTTCATTGCCACGCCACGCAACCGCTACAAGACCAACCTCATGTCTTGCGTTGCTGCCACAGTGTTTCCCTAACCGCTATACGAGAAACGGCGGCCACACGAGCATGCTTCACCGAAAAAACGTAGCGCATGCCTGAGCATTTGATGGGAATTTGGCTAATAAGGTAACGGTTCCTCGGCACAGACTGGCCCGTCTGATAGCCATCTACGGAGAGAAAGTCGACATGTTCCCAACAAGAATTGCTCAACCTAAGCAGGAGTCACAAGTACATGGGCCAGAGCCAGGCACGACCGACGAACATGTCTGATCTCCTCTCCGTACTACTGTACACTCAAACTCTCCTTCAAGTCTCTTCTACCGCGCGACCGCGCGTCTTTCACCAACGTTTCGCAACCCACACAACGTCCTGAGCGATACCTACCTAGACTCGTCCGAAGAAACACTCGACCCGACCCGCCGGATCTGCACCTCGCCCATCCCGGTTTGTCCACCCAGCAAAAGTAAAAGGTTTCGTCGAAGCTGTGGCCCGAGTTCCTCATTGACTGACATTCCCCCCTCATCTCGGAACCCACATGCCGATGAACCTACGTGCTTCTTTGTACGACCCTTTGTGCATGAGAACACTCTTCGACTTTGTGAGACTCGCCATTCGGCATCAGCTTGTGATGGTCCACGTTCTTGGCAAGTCAAGCAAGATTCCGTCGGCTTCGAAGAGATCTACGATGCTTTCTTTATTCTACAGGTTAGGTGAACTTAGATTTGACGGACCCTCTCGTGCCGTTGGGGGGAGGGAGCTTCATGCGTAAAGATGCAAGCTCGACGTTAATGCTCTCCGTGTTCTGCCGATGAGGGGTCGATGCTCTTTTTTTTTTCGGATTGCCATGTGCCAAAGCCGGACGATCTAGATCAATCTGAGAGTGAGCCTACGAGTGTGAGTGAGAGAAGGAGAAAACGAGAGCCGAGTACAAGGTTTGGATCGATACAGTTTCGATATGTACCACCTTTCTACCAACGGTAATACCGATATGCTCTGGGCGGTCAATGGCGGCTCCAGGCTGGGACGAGCCGCAAGCTTGCCGCTTCTGAGCCGCTTCCTTGGCATCTGGTCGATTGTGATGGGTTTCAGTAAGAATACTAGACGCATCTCTAGTTTCCCCTGGTTGTTCTGCTACCACCACGGTGGATTCAGCAGTTACATCCAGTCACATCAAGTCATGGACCATTCGAGCAAACACCACACTGCCTAACAGGTATCCTCATATACATCATCGAGGTGTCAAATCGCACATTCATTTCCAGGTCACTCTTATAAAACGGGACTTTAAAATCTCATAGTCTCGCATTCTCGTTATCTTGTTAATTGCCTGAGCATCTATCATCTACGATGCACCCTCTCGCGATCTCGCGAGAGGAATTTCTAATCGTGCCCCCAGTCTCTTTTCTTTTCATATCCCCAACAGATACACCGCTAACCCAGTAATTATCGGTATAGGAGTTAGAGAAAGAAACTCCATGATCGAAAGGACAGTTTCTCTTCCCCCCAATGGGAGATCTCCAGGATACTCTCCATGTGGGAACCCGTTCTGTAGTCCCGTCTAATGCCGTAACGCCCCGTGGGTATACCGTATGCTTCCAATAAGACAAGACATTGTTGCTCGTGCCCTCTTTTTCTTACCCTGTATCTAACGAAATCCAACGGTGGAGAAGGGGTATCTCTCTAAACGAACGCTCGCTCTGATGCTTGGATCCAAGTTCGTAAGTCGTAAGTGGGAAACTCTTTTGTTCCCGGTTGGACAGTATACATCGGTGCCCACATGTACGATGCTCTGCTCTTGCTCTACTCTTTCTCTGCGCGCCTGTGTATGTGTATGTATGTATGTCTGTCTCGCACGTACACTCACTCACCACCAAGACTTGTCGTCGACAACAACCTAGGTAACAGGCCTCATCTGCTTCTCCTTCCAACCCGCAAGCGGGACCTTCACCCAGACGCCGTTACTCGCCCTCATCCACGCGAGATTCCGCGTCGAGATGAGGACCCTCGGCCTCTTCTTGGGGTTAGCGTTCGCGTTCGCCGCCGCCGCCGCTGCCGCCGCAGAGAAGGCGGAGAGAGGATACGCGGGCCGCGTGGAGTGCGACTTGCTGGTTGAGCCAGTGGTCGACGCGGGCGGCGGTGGCGTAGGGTTGCGAATCTCGAGGGAGTTCTGACTGGTGCCGTTGCTGGTGACTCTGGGGTGGGCGTCTCCGAGACTGTTGACTCTGTTGACTCTGTGTCTGTTGCTGATAGGCTTGTCGCTGCGGCTGGGTATACCGGAGTACCGGGCTCAGAAGACTGACGGGAACCCGCGACGTTTTCCTGGCGGTGGAGTTTCCGGCGGCGACTGGCGCCGGAGGCTGGCGACGAGGACGACGAGGCCTTGAGCTTGAGCTTGATTGCCTTTGGCTTGGTGCCGGGACGCGGGGTGGTTGTGCCTGTTGTCGTGGGCGGGGTGAGCATGGGCTTGGAGGGCAAGAGTCTGATTTTGGTGATGGGCTTGAGGTTGGAGGCGTTGCTGTTGGGCGTGAGGATGTTTGCGCCGGCGCCGGCACCGGTGAATGGGGGTTGGGGGTTGGCCATTGTGTGAAGTCTTGTAGTTGAGGTGTTTGATGTAGTGTAGGTGCTCCCCTCGGCCTGGATTGGCCCCTTGGATATGGTGAAGTTGGTTCGTTGGACTTCGAGACCGAGGCGGAAGTTTATACTTGGTATGCCCGGTTCAAAGTCGCAAGGCGAGCAAGGCGAGAGTAGAGTGAGTTGAGATTGTGGAAGGATGTGTCTTGATTAAGTTTAGTTGTAAACGATGTTGCTGTCGAAGCCCTGGTCGTTGTTCAAGTCTTCGTCGTTGTTGCAATGTGTTTGCGTTTCTTCTTCAGATCCGCAAGATGTATGAAGGATGTATGAAGAACCAGATACAGATGCCAACAATAGTAGGGTCCGAGTACGCCTTTATATATCGTTCAAAGGACGAAAAAGGACGGTTCCTCGAATATGGGCGGTGGCCGAAGAGGTGAGTGAACGAAACAACGGAGATGGCTATTTGCCTGATTAGGGTAATTACACGGCCAAAAATGTGATTCTTCAGATGAAGAGGTTGAGGGAGCTTTTATTCACTGCCTTGCCCGGTCTGACCTTGCTGGGCTGGGCTGAGCCATCTCCGTTACAATTTCGAGGGCGAGGCAAGGTCGGGTGGGTGGTTGGTGGTTGAGAGGTGAATGACCGACCTGCCTGGTCCGCGTGACTACCTCACCCTACCAACCTATTTCCGTATACACCTTAAGACTCAGGAAGCCCCACAAGGCTCTAGCAGTCACTCGGCCTCTCTGTGATTCAGAAAATTACATCGCCTTGTCTTTTTCCAAGGTTCGTAGTTTTCGTGGGGTTTGACAATGGAGAAAGATCAAGTTGAATGAAACGGCTGCTTTCACGCAAAAAACAATGTGTCGAAACTCCCCTCTATTTCGGGCATCAAACAAGCCAGACAAAGAGTTGATGTAGACGACATACTCTCATACACACAATGAAGAGGTAACAATCCTTCAAGATCCTCTTTTGCTCTTTCGTCCTTTCCCACCTCAGTTGCAGATTTTTGAGCATGGATCAACGAATAACTTCAGCCCTTCCCCTTCACTCCCCTTAAACCAACCAATCGACCTCATTAAAAAGATCCAATGAGACCTAGGCGCAACTTGACCCGTTAACTTCTTGCCTTGTACTCGGCGATAATCTTGTCGATACGTCGCTCAGCCTCCGGCGTCGTCTTTGGGTTATTTCGGGGATCGGAGCCGCTTCTTGGAAGTAACGGGTCCGGGAAATGCTCTGTTTTTTTTTGAAGTTATTTTTGTAAGCTGAGTTCTCTCATATTTTCCTCTTAACTCGTTTGAACAATGTCGCTAGGTCGGATACCATCACAGCTGTTCACCAGCGAGGGAGAAGGAAGGGTGGAAATAAAAAGGGACGAGCTTCACTTACTAGGGTCGAATCTCTGGTCGAGGAGTTTCGCTTTGAAAGACTCGTACTCTTCTCTAAACTTCTTATTGTTCCAGCTGGGTGCAGCCGCTACCGCCGCCGAAGAAGCTTTGGGGTCGTCTCGGCTGCTTCCTCCAGCCTCGGAGCTGGGGGTCTGGAGCTTTGCGCCGCCCGCTGCCATTGTGTTTGCTGTTGAATGAATTTTCTTCAACGATATGTGAAAGCGGGTTCCTGAAAAATTAATGAGCTGTTTGTCCACGTATATCCTGGAGTTGGGTTGTTTGTGTCACCGCTCTGGCTTGTGAACTCACCTTGAATCCCGACTGGGCAGTAGGAGGATGTGCCAAGAACCGGCGGAGGGGGTTTCAGGAGATTATTGAATTAAGGCCTCGAGAGCTGGGAAGGAAGCATTGAAATGTGGGCCTTTTTGCCAAATCCTGTTGAAGAAGCTAAAGTTGAGGTTATTCCGTCGCAGCTCTGCCTAAGCACCGCAGTGAGTGATGGAGTGGTAAGTCAGGTATGAGGTGAGATGGACATCGCTCGCCTGCCTCCAGCTGTCACCCGGGCCCAGCCAACCCCACCATTCCAAGGGTGTTTCCAAGATCCGATGCGCCTGCTGACCCCTGGGTGCCCCTCCACACAAGTCCGGAGAGGATACTTATGTAGTACGTAGCTTTCTGCCTAGAGACAGGCTAAAGTCAAAGTAACTATAATGTCATTGGCTCAGCTGAGGGGAGCTTAAAAAAAAAAAAAAAAGCCGTAGCCGCCTCGGACGCCTCTGACCAAGGCACAACCGACAAGGGGTCCGTTAACCTCACTCATCTCATCCCACCTTTTTTCCCCTTCTACCTTTAACATCATTGTGAGCATCGACTTCACCACCCTTTGGACAACCTGCCATTTTTGGTTTTTGTGTGTTCACCTTTATCCTACCCACCCATCCAATGCTCCCACATTAGTCCGAGATCACCGCTCGCCTCGTCACGGTCACAGCACACTCTCTCTCCCTTTCAGGTCTCAGCTTCCTCAACCGATCGATCGCCCACCACCTTTTTGCAGGCAGGCTTCGATACCTAGTGAAGCTTCACCACCCCCACCATTACGGTCACGTTATCACAAACTTGGGTCGCTTCAGGAAACACCACCCGACAAGAAGCTGGGAAGATGGTCAAGAAGGGCGGCGCTTCTCGTCCCCCGACGCCTGGGAGGATGATGACTGGGAGTCTGCAGCCGACAAGCTTGACGCCCAACCTACAGAGGTGCAGCCTGAACCGCAGGTACCGATGACCAAGGCAGAGCGGCTCGCCCAGCATGCCGAGCAGAATAGAAAGCTTTGGGAATCAGCGTATGTCTTTTTACCCAGAGTTTTTCACGTGCCCAAATTTTGGCCTTTTCTTTTACCTATCCCTTGTACTGCCAATGGCAATAATTGTCAAGAAGAGAAAAAAAACAGAAGAGGCAAGCAGCTAACACAAATTTCGACCTTCACTAGTGACTCCCCCACGCCCACACCAATGACCTTCCTCGAAGCCCAACCCTCGGTACCCCTCGCCACGGGCTTCAAACCCCAGGTCAAAGTCCTGAGCCGAAAACCGGCGCCCCGAACAATCGCCCGGCGCGACCCCGTCACTGGCCTCCTCTCCCACCTGTCCCTCGCTGACGACGACGCCGACGACCAACACGCCGAGAAGAAGCCGCAGCTCACGCCCGAGGAGATTCGCGCCAAGCAGCAGCGCGAGCTCGAGGAGAAGCAGCGGCGGTACGAGGAGGCGCGCGCGAAGATCTTTGGCGAGTCGAATCCTTCCTCTGGCGCCTCGAGCCCGAGTGGGACAGTCACGCCACCTAGAGGGGGAGGAGGAGGTGCCGAGAACGAGAGAGGTGGAGGGCGCGGCCGTGGACGAGGACGGGGCCGTGGCGGTGGTGGTGGCGGTGGATACCGAGGGAACTCGAATCGACAAGACGACCTACGACGACCTGGCAGCAGTCGATCCGACGCCGTTCGCGCCGAGAGCGGTCGTGAGCTCTACGACCCCGGATACGCACCCCGAGGCGGCTTCGGGATGCAGAAGCGTGGGGGCGGCGACGGCCCAAACACGTACAACACGTACAACACATACAACCCGCATTCTGGACGTTCAACCCCGAGAGACGTCGAGGACCAGCCCAAGCAGGCCATTCGAGCTCCACGCGGACCGGATGGGACTGGAAGAGGTGGATTCGGCTTCGCCAAGCGAGGCACAAAGGAAGGATGAAATTATTACTATGCTAATTTGGCTCTTCCTTTCCTTCACAGAGAGAGAAAGAAAAAACAAGCAAAAAAAGACTACCAGCCTCCGCCAATCTTTCCCGCCAGCTGAACGACGCGCTCCGTGTCGCTAGCCTTGTCCTTGCCCACGTCGCTGACCACCTCGCGATACGTGGTGAGGGCCAGTCTACCCAAGTCTATGCCAGTGCAATCCGCCCAATGCGCTAGGGTATCTCGAATGTAAGAAGGCGAAATTCCGTCAACAACGTCGTCTGCTACTTGCAGACCGTCACCATTTTGAGTAATACCATTGCTCTCCTCGCCGTCAGAGTCCTCTGCTGAAAAGTAGGCCTCGTCGACCTCGGCCAGGAAATCCTTCTGCTCGAGCGGGCCCGGCTTGCTCTCGTAACCCTTGCGCTCCACGACGATCGGGTCGTCCACCTTGATCTGCCCACCGCCGTTGGTGCAGCCGCCGGGCAGGCCGCCATGACCTCGACGTAGGCGTACTCGAGCCCAGCGGACTTTCCGTGGGTCTCCTAGCGGCGCCGAACGCCTTGCCGCCGGGCATCCGGGACGGCCGTGCCGGCTTCAGCTTTCGGACCAGGTTCTGGATATTGCGGAAGCCGTAGTACCGCGCAGCCTTGAAGATAGGGTCGCCCGTGGCGGAAGCGACGACGAACTCGACGACGTCGGCGTTGCGGCCGCGGATGACTTGGATCTGAGAGTTGGGGTGCTTGGAGGCCACGGTCTGGAGGGTGAAGTAGAGGTTGCCGCCGGAGGAGCCAGCGGCTACGGACGAGCGGTGGGCTCCACGGGCCGGGAAGAGGAACTTTTCTAGCCTCGTGTCCGGGAACGGCGTATGTTGGACAGCGGCGGCAGATGGCTTGCCCCGCGGTAGATTAAAGAAATTGAAACCCCTTGACTCGGCCAGCATGAGGACCTCCTTGCTCGTGATAACGCAGTCCACGTCGCGGACCCCTCTACCGGGCTTCCCGTCCCCGTCGGGACCCCACACCGAATCCGTGAGCTCCTCGCGACTGGCCTCGAGCTTCTTGTCGAAACACGGCATGACGGCCAGATGCCAGATCCTGCTGGGCGGGATCCTAAGCTTCTTGCTCAGCGTCGTCTTGAGGAGGGTGCCCATGAGCGCCTGGGGCGACTTCACGCGCGACAGGTGCGGGAGGACGTAGGGGTGCGTCTTTTCGGCGTAGCACACCCACCCGGGACACGACGACGTGAGGATCGGCTTGGTCGCTGGGGTCGATGGTGATGGAGACGGCGAAGCGCCTGCTGCTGCTGTTGCTGCGCTACCGCCACCCAGAACCTCATCCGCCCCGAGAACAAGACACGCCTCGCGCGCGACGTTGGTATCCAACACCCACGTGAACCCGTTCCCATGCTTTCCCCCGCTGGCAAGACCTTGCTCGCCGCTGAAGAGCGCGTCCAGCATATACCCCGCCTGCCTCTCCGTCGTGCCGTCGCCCGCGGCAGCGGCCAGGCTCGCCCTCGTCTGCGGCGAGACGCTCGCCACGAAGAGCATCCTGCTCTCGTCCTCGAGCCCCTGGACGCGGAACTCGCCCGTGGTCGGGTCCGGGCCGACGATGCGGAGGGACGGGCCGAAGTCGAGGGTGTTGAGGACCTCGGTGTGGGATTGCATGCTCACGAGGACGGCTTCGGCGGAGGTGACGCAGCCTGAGCAGGCGACGAGGACGGCTTCGGCGGAGGTGACGCAGCCTGAGCAGGCGAGGCAGTCTGTGAGGGAGATTTCGGCGGGGGGCGCATTGCTTGCTGCGGTGTTGTTGGAGTTTGGTTGGCCGTCGAGGATGACTTCGTGTTCGAGGGAGGCGTCGGGGGGGGGCGGCGGGGGCGCGGAGGAGGGTCTCGATTGGTTTTATGCAGGCTACGCCTGGACTTATGAAGTCGTTTAGGTCGTCTGCGGAGAGTATTGCGCTCATCTTGGAGGATTTTTTTGGTCGAAGTGTCGTGAGCGTAGAGAGATTGAAGGAGGGAGGGGGAGTGGGAGGGAAAGGAGGGGAGGCGGGATGTCGAAGATGGCGGGGCAATGCGTGGATGCGATGCGATAGAGAAGTCGACGAGAAGAAGTATGAGTCGCAACGTAGCGGGGTGTAAGAGAGGTGCGAGGACACAAGCCGTTGGTCCAAGTATGAGTATGAAAACGATGGGAGAGAGCTTGTCTTGTTTGTGGACGACTTATGCTTTCTCCTTGTATTCCGCGAGGCCGGAGATGCGCAAATCAAGTGGTGGATGGGAATCAATCGTTGATTGCAAATCCATCCCCCACCACTGGGTTTTTTTTCGCAAGAGTCAACACTGCTGACAGTGCAGGCGCGCCTAGGCTTTGCGAAATCGGCATCCACTCAGTGGCGGGATGGGAAAAGTGGACAGGGACCTGGGTGCCCCTCGCGGCATCGGCCCCTGAGGACCTAAGAGGATTACAGGGGGCGTTGCAGCTGGCTGACGCAGGCCGTCAATTGGGAATCGGAAGCCATGGCGGGCAAGGGACGCGGTGCCGGGGGCCCGTCCAATGACGTCGGCTCGTCGTAGCTCTCTCTTCCCTGGGCTCAACCTTGAAGTCACCTCATCCCACGCGAGGCAAAGCTCTACGAAGCTTCATTAAAGCAACACGAGCTCTCACAGCAGTAATTTGTAACCTCAAACTCTCCAATTCCACCTAGATCATTCGTCATAACAAAAAGAAGTCGACCACCGCCCACCAAACCACCTCAATGGACGTAAGCCATCTCCCATCCATCATCCTCATCTCACAGAGATCCTCGCTGACACATAGCTCTACCGCAAACCAACAGGCGATATCAACCTTCAGCTTCGGAAACCTGGGCTGGCTCGCGACCCAGGCCGTCCCGCTCATCATTTGGCCGCGCTTCATCACCAACCTCCTCCGTCCCGATGACTACCAGTACGCCGCAGGCTGTGAGTCTCTTCGTCACCCCCCTTCCACCCATTTCGTGTGAGTCCCCAAAAGTTGACATGACCTCCAGCTCTCGAGGACTACTTTGCCCGCTCTCTAGGCTTCGCCCTCCTAACCCTAGGTCTCCTCGTCGTAACCCTCTCAGGAGCAGTTCCCCTCGCATCAGAGGACCTAAGTAAGATCCCCCCACGTCCCTCCCCTTCTTGCCTACACATCCCTCAGCATAGTAGCTCACACAAGTAACCTCCCAAACAGCACCCGCGGGAACAGTCTCCCCCTACGCAAACGCAGCCCTCATCCTCTCCTCCATCCACCACGCCTCGGCCGGCTTCTATTGCTACAGCAGGTGGCTCCGCACCGGCCAGACGGCCTTTGCCCTCGGATGCCTCGGCAGCGCCATCTTCGCCGTCTCGGGGCTCTGGTGCCTCATGTTCGCCGGGGACAAATCGCGGCGCAGCAAAACATGGCTACGACAAGGACACGAGCTCGTTTCCCTTTAAGAATACCGAGTCGTACAGATCCAAGAAGAAGGGTTTGTAAATGGGAACGAAACGAAAAGAGAGAGAAAAGGAATGTAGCTGTTGTAGATCAAAGGATGGGCAGTTAGACAGTGCTGGCAAATAGGCAATGTCGGCATTCCCTTGACGAAGTTCAATGGGCCTTGACTGTCACCCTGTGGTTTAGGTACTACAATGAAGAGTCACCCTTCATACTTTGCGCTGCCAAAAAAACACCTTTGTGAGGTAGCCTGTTCGGAGTCTTGTCCAAGGTGAAACAGGCAAAGAAATGATAACGAGAAAAGCAGCCATAAGCTGTTTCTTTAAGTGCAAATGGAACACATACATATACTCCGTGCGCCTATTTCCCTGGTTGCCTTCCTCATGACTCCCGTGATGCAAGAGACGTCAATTTGCGCTCTCAATACTCTGCTTCTTCTTCTTCCGCTGTCTGTTGTTTTTGGCAAGTCGGAGTTGTATCGTTTCCTGTAGATGCCTCGGCTGTCTCGACGGCTTCAAACTCACCCACACTCGTACAGTCCTTTTGGTGCGTTGTGATAAGGTGATAAAAAGGCATCAATCAGCCGCACTAGATGCATGAAACCGGGGAGTCGCCCATTTCCCAGTAGACTCCCTCGAATTTGCCGAGGTCGCCGGCCTAGGTCATTTTGTCCAACTAGAACTGGACGCCTGGGTTCCAGGATACCAAGCGCTGACCCTAACTAGCTGCCGCTACTTCGGTGGATTTGGCTCCATTTGCCAGAGTCTCTTCGGCCTTGCTTTCCTGGGAGTCTGCACCTCCTCCGTTGGCGGTTGTTTGGGTACCTTCTTGGCTCTCTAGCACGCCCGAAAGCTGGACATCTGCTGCGCCAGAAAGGACTGCCTGCCTGCGTTCATGCCAGTCGACCTCACTCTTGACAACCTGGGAGAAGAGAACCTCCTTCTCGCGCCACAGGTCCTTGTACTGCTTCTCCCAGTACTTGACCTCTTCCGCCAGCTTGACCGACTCCTCTTGCGCCCACTTGACCTGGAATCTACAGAGCTTGTACAGCCTCTCGAGGGGGATCTTGAGCTCTTCAGAAGTGAAGCCTTGATCTTCAGTCAAGGGAGTAAACAGGTCGGCAGAGAGCTCGTCGTCGTCAGCTCCGTCATCGATGGCATCATCGTGTCCCGCAGCGTGTGATTGAGGAGTCTTGATGATGATCTTGAGCTTTCCCTTTCCTGTGGGCTTGCATAGACTTGGGGACAGGATCGGAGGGACGCAAGGCCTCTGTCTCGTGGACGGTTCGCATGTGCTTAGCGAGAGCATCTGATCTCGTGAATGATCTATCGCATTCTGTCTGCGAGTTAGCCCGTTTGCCCTGACACTCTGCAAAGGATGGTCACAAACCTGGTAGATAACAGTAGAAAGGCTTCTCCCTGGTATGGCTTCGCATGTGGGCTTTCAAGGCGTAACCGCTGGCATGCCCCTGCTGCTCTACTGCATCCGGTCCATTCGCACGTGTATTTCTTCTGCCGGCTTTCGATGTGATCGCTGTGAATATGCTCCACCAACTTGTCCATGTTGCCAAAATCACCCGCGTCGCAGCCTTCCCAGGCACAGGAAGTCACCTGCTCCTGGAAGTCTTCCTCGTCTAGTTTGGCGTTGATGGGAGAGCTGGGAATGTCGCCAGACGTGTCCGAACACGTCCGACATGCCCTCAAAGGATCCGGCTCGGGTACGGCTTCTGGTTCGGGTTCCGCGACCACCGCGGGAGACGTTGTCGAGGCTGCGCCTGGCTTCTGGCGCTTCGAGGGACGGAGGAGCGACTCATCCTCATAATCGTGAACCTCTTCCTCCTCGGAGGTATCGTTGTGGTCCGAGGTGAGGTGAGTCGGGCGGTGTTGAATCTCCACGAGCCATGTTGGGCCGTTGAATGATGGAAACCTAGCACTTTGAAAGATGCAGCGATGAAAGGCTGTGGATTGTTCGGTGATCAAGCGTAAGAATTATCGCTGCGAGAGGAAAAGAGATCGGAGATCAATATAATGAAAAACAAGCTATGCGCTGCTATCGTAGACGGGATGATGAATTAATTGGGAGTAGCCAGCGGGATGCAGGTCAATCGCTAGAAAAATCACATCGGCCTCGTTCTGACAACTTTAATGATGTTTGCGCCTGGGCTCAATCCTCAGGGTGTCGCGACGAGCAGCGCGGCTCACGGAGCTCGTCTTGTGGGTCCACTTACAAACCAACTCTGCCGGGTGTCAGAGGGCACCCTGAATCACTAGCCAGTGGCGGCCAGCTGTCAGCATGAAATGACGGCAATCGCCCCTGGCCAGTCGGTGCCTGGCACCCTGTGACCACAACCAGGCACACAGAGGCAAGCCGCACCACAGAGGCAAGCCGCACACAGGCACCCACCCGGGCTCACCCCTGCAACTGTGACTCGGGGTCTTGTGGAAAACAAAATAAAGTGACTTTGTTTAACCCCTTCCCCACCATAAACATCCCCGACATACACTCATTTTGCGCCTTCGCTGCCACCTTGCTCCCAGCTTTTCCAACACTCCTTGCTTATCAACAAATCCATCATGGCGACCACGCGCAAGGTGTTCTCTCTTGAGGGAAAGGGACTCAAGCTCGATACTGGTGCCGACCTTGAGGCCCACATCGCCGACTTGCGCTCGACCGACGTCGAGGAGGTCAGGTTCCTGGGAAACACCCTGGGAGTCGGTGCTTGCAAGCTCCTTGGTGAGGTCCTGGCCACCAAGAAGAACCTCCAGGTAGGCAAACAAGAGCTTCCAGCACACGTATAACCATCCACTGACCAAAAGTGACTAGTCCGCCGACCTCTCCGACATCTTTACCGGTCGTCTCCTGAGCGAAATCCCTGAGGCCCTGTCCTCCCTCCTCACGTCTATTCTCAACCTCCCCAAGCTCACGACGATCAACCTGAACGACAATGCTTTCGGTATCAACACCCAGGCCCCGGTCGTCGCTTTCCTGGCTGCCCACGTGCCCCTCCAGCACCTTTACCTGAACAACAACGGCCTCGGCCCCCATGCTGGTATTCTGGTGGCTGATGCGCTCTCCGAGTTGCACGCCAAGAAGGAGGCGGCGAGAAAGGAAGGCAAGGAAGTCCCGTACCTCGAGACTGTCATTTGCGGTCGCAACCGTCTGGAGAACGGCAGCATGCAGGCCTGGGCCAAGGCCTACAGCCTTCACAATAAGATCAAGGAGATCAGGATGATCCAGAACGGTATTCGCCAGGAGGGAATCAGCCACCTTATTAGCGAGGGCTTGAGGACTGCGACCGAACTGCGCATCCTCGATCTCCAGGACAACACCTTTACCATTAACGGTGCCAAGGCCCTTGCCGGTGTCCTCCCCAACTTGACAAGCCTGCAGGAGCTGGGTCTCAACGATGCCTACCTCACGCCCAAGGGTACCAAGGTTGTCGCCAAGTCTCTTGCTAAGGGCAAGCAGGACAAGTTGGAGATCCTTCGCCTGGCTTTCAACGACATCACCCCAAGGCACTGGAGCATCGCCAGCGTTGTTACCGAGTCTCTGCCTGCCTTGAAGAAGGTTGAGCTCAACGGCAACAAGGTCGAGGAGGACCCTTCCATCATTGCTATCCGCGAGTTCCTCGAGGAGCGCAAGGAGAAGATTGGTGGCGATGTCGTTGATGAGGACGCTTGGGGACTTGACAGCCTGAGCGACCTCGAGGAGAGGACTCTGACGAGGAGGAGGAGAGGAATCTGAGGAGGAAGAGGAGCTGGATGCCGAGAAGGAGGCCGAGATCCTTACCAAGGAGGCTGAGGAGGCCCAGGAGGAGCCCTGTCCAGCTCAAGGACAAGGAGGTGGACGATCTGGCCAAGAAGCTGGCCAAGACGGAGATTTAAGAGATGTATGGAAGCATTTTCTTTGGTTTACAGGTTTAGATGATGGAACGCAAGAGGAATGACCCCCCATTATACAGGAGTGAGGAGACAGAGACGATACCCCCCCAAAATTACACTTCATCCCAACCAGTCTTGACCGTGGTGATTGTACGCAGATTGTCATCTGACCGGCAGGAGTTTGGTTATGTTGCCGATACACAAACCTTTCCGTCATTCTCCTGGGCGTATCGGCTTGTCGCAGTACTGGTGGTGTGTCCGGGGTAGCACCGATCCCGATCGTCACTCCACGATCACCCCACGAAGCCGGCATCCATGGCGATGCCAGATCACGAGATCAGCGAAATGGAATCGCGTGAGCTTGAATGGCAGTATATAGTACACAGAAGACTGTGCCATTCTAAATTGTCGGTTGCAACGACGGAACAAATTCACGAATAAATCTAGCAAACAGAAACCCTTGAACGAATAAACACATTGCACAAACCAACTCAACCTACCTACCCACCTGAGGCCGGCAATCATGGACCACCTCTTCAAAACCACGGACTCGGTCATTGAGATACTGTGGGACGTCGCGCTCGCCTTCTTCGTCGTCCGCATCGCATTATCGTACTTCTTCTTCACTTTTACCGCAACAACGCTGCTCTCGTGGATCGTCTGTACATATCGCCAATACTTACGACTGCCCCTCGTCTTCGTTCAGCAGCAGCAGTATCTCACAACCTCACAAAGCGACCCTTTCGTCTTGGCGGTGATGCTTCTACAAATCGTGGTAGGCGTCGTCGTTGTGCGGTACGTGGTGGCGGTCTACGACGTGCCGCGCGTGGCGTGGTTCCGGCTTGCGATCGGAGGTCTGGCCGCGGCGTTCTTGGCCGGCGCGGAGGGCTACTCGATTGGTTGTATCTGCGTTTTCGCACGAAGGAGAAGAGCACGGAAGGGGCTGCTGGATCTGGGAGAGTGGAAATGGATGGGTGATGGTCGCGGCAATGTTTGGCGGGTTAGCTGTCTTTGCGGTGATGCCTGCGGTGTTGATGTGGTTCGAGAGCCGAGAAGGCTCCGGCTTCTGCTGGAAGGGCTGAGGTGAGGGAAGATGGGGATGCAGGGGCTTGATGGCAAGGAGTTTGAGGATGGGGAATCCCAAGCCAGGGAGTCAGAAGTCGGAGAAGTCCTATGGGTGAAATATCGAAACCGGGATGCCGACGTTGTAATGGATTTGTGTTCACAATGTCGAGAAAAGGGAGTCTTATTGTCTAACGTTTTGAAAAGCGAGACATGGCTGAATGAGAATCATCAGGGGAAAAGGATTTTTGTTGGAGTCTTTGGTGGCCCTGCGTGTGAGTTTGAGTCTTGAGTCTTGAAGATATTCGCCATGGGGGCATTGTGGTTGGCTTGTCCGACGTTGTAGTCGAAATTACCATGTATCCCAAGGTTATTACCCTTGCTTCAGCCTTGAGGTCGTCGTCTCTGAGACTGTAGGACCAGGCTATTGGATACTTGATTCTCTTGGATCGATCAAGGACAAAACGAAGAAGAGCCTCCAAGAACCGGTAGAAAGTCAGGTATGTCAGCCGAGACATTGTTCTCAGGGGCGGCGCAGCGTTTATGGGCTCGTCAGCCATGTATTGGCGTGTAAGCCAGGGCGGGTCAAATTTTTAATCTCAGGAATGTTTACGGCCTTCCTACTCAAGCTACCCTCCGGGAAGGTTTAGGAATGTTTACGGCCTTCCTACTCAAGCTACCCTCCGGGAAGGTTTTACGCCCTCGTGGCGTTTGGCCTGCCCTTGGATCCTGCTTGCTTGGATGTATGGAGAGCTACAATGGTGCTCTGGAAAATTTTCAATACATGAATGGAAGATTCATCAGGATGCAGTTGCAACGGAGCCGGTTAGAAGGGAAAAAGCATTCGATTCTGGGAACCTACGAGGTTGAGGTGGGATCGGATGGCAGCTGTCAGCGGGCAAGGTACATCGGGCGCTCCCGCTGCGGTGCTGCTGTGTCGCTGGAAAAGTGGCAGGGTTTCCATTCTTCAGCGTGGCCACCTCCCCGGGAAAAGCGGGGGCATATCCGGGACCCCCAGGTTACGGATACATCTGCCGTCTGCACCTGTCCGACTACCACCGTACCATATTCCCTATCCAACCTTGCATTATCACTCATCTTTTCTAGCAGCACTTGAACAGCCTCCGATCTGTCAGTGACAGAGACACCTTTTTATTCAAATGCATCTTAGGTGACTAGCGCTTATCAACAGGCTCACACGAAAGGATTCTGTCCAATGCTTGGGATACAATCTATTGGACTGGGCAAATTCTCAGAAACCCCAATCAAGCGCTTCTGTTGACCATTGTGTTCAGTCTTGAAGTCTCATTGAAACATTAGTAATACGATCAAGGTTGATCTGGGATGAAAGAAACCTTGCTCCAGTCATATTCTCTCCTTTCCTGTCTCCAGCCAGACAAGTGAACCAGAGTTAGTAAACTTTGATGGGTGTCTTTCCGGGAAACGTGTGCCGAAAGTCTCATATTCCCTTTGCCTTTTTTTCTTTTCCAGCCCATGTTGCAGATGTTCCCTGGCTGGGGCCCTGTGGCTCTGGAGGGGATCCAGAACTTCGGGGTGGAGGTTTCTCATTCCTACCCGTGGTAGTCGACTGCGATGTCAAGGGGGGGCTGTTCACAAGGCCACTCCACCACCACCACCTTCTCCTCCTCCTCCCATTCCAATGCCTCCAATACTGCTTTCTAGCATCACTTGGAAAGGTCTTGGAGGTTGGTGAAACTCACACCACCAGACTCTATTCATTCCTCGTCATGAAGCATCCACGCAATACCCCTCCATCATCGGAGACCCCTCCCCACCCCTCTGGACAGTCAGTCAACGAGAACTCTGCAGAAAGAGAAAGGGAGGCTCAAGTATCACGACCATAACCTAGAAACAATAAGAAGAGCCGCTCATCTTCGCACCAACCGTCCTGACCTTGCTCCTCCCTTTTCCCCTGTCGATCAAGCAAGGTAAATCCAGCCTTCTCCATTCACTGAAGCTGTAACTCCGTTGCCCACAATGGTCGGATCATCCCTCCTCCTACCTCTCCTCGCCGCCCTGGCCTCCATAGCCGGCGCGGTACCAGTAAACGAGCGCCGCTCCGCCCGCCCGACGTGCGGAAAGCCGGGGACAGTCGTGTCCACCACCCAAGTCACGGTACCAACCTCCCAAGCGGCGACAGCAGCGCCCACGAGCCCGCCCGCGGTGTCACTTCCTTCACCCATCACCGTCTCCTCCTCGTTTGTCACTTCTCGTCTCGCTTCGTCGACTTCGGCGGGTGTGCCTGGCGTTTCCTCATCATCGGTGAGAACGTCGGCGGCAGCCTCCTCAGCTTCTGCTGCGCCGTCTTCTCTATCAACTGTGCGAGTGTCCAGCACGGGCACAGCCTCTCCGCCTGCCACCGGCACAGGAACCCCGGCATCGGGATACAGGAATGTCCTGTACTTTACAAATTGGTTTGTGAAAACGTCCCTACATCTGCAAAAGACCCAGGTGTCCTTCGTGCTGACACTTCTGCTTCAGGGGCGTCTATGGGGCGAACTACCAACCGGCAGACATTCCCGCAGACAAGGTGACGCACTTGCTCTACTCCTTTGCGGATATCCAAACAGATGGCACGGTGTAAGTTGATCCCCAAACTACCAAGGTAAAAAGTTTGCAAGAAGCAAGGAAAAGGCTGACGAAAAGAAAAACACAGAGTCTCGTCAGACCCTTACTCAGACACGCAACGCCAGTACTCTGGCGACGACAACCAAGCAGGTAACGCCTACGGCTGCGTCAAGCAGCTATACGCCCTCAAGAAGCAAAACCGTCAGCTCAAGCTCGTCCTCTCCATCGGCGGCTGGACCTGGTCCAGCAAGTTCCCCGCCGTGGCCGCCTCGGACACGGCTCGTAAGCAGTTTGCTTCCTCTGCGATCAAGCTCATGATCGACTGGGGTTTCGACGGGTAAGAAGAACCACATACACACAGACACATACACTTGTGCATGCCTTGTGCTAACAAGAAACCCCATTTCGCAGTCTCGACATTGACTGGGAATACCCAGCCAGCGACACGGAAGCAACAAACTTCGTCGCCCTCCTCAAGGAAGTCCGCTCCCAGCTCGACGCCTACGCCGCGGCCAACGCACCGGGCTACCATTTCGCCCTCACAATCGCCTGCCCCGCGGGTCCCTCGCACTACAAGCAGATGAACCTCCGCGGCATGGACCCCTATGTCGACGCCTGGCACCTCATGGCCTACGACTACGCCGGCTCCTGGGACACCACGACGGGCCACCAGGCCAACCTCTACCAGAATCCGTCCAACCCGACGGCGACAAAGTTCGACACCCAGACCGCGCTGGCGTACTACCTCTCCCAGGGCATCGCCCCCAGCAAGGTCGTCCTCGGCCTGCCGCTCTACGGCCGCTCCTTTGAGAACACGGCCAACGGCGTCGGCCTGCCGTACTCGGGCGTCGGGACGGGCTCCATCGAGCCGGGCGTGTGGCACTACAAGGTCCTGCCCAAGGCCGGCGCCGTCGAGGTCTACGACTCGACGGCGGGCGCGCTGTACAGCTACGATAGTTCGACAAAGGAGCTCATCAGCTACGACAACCCGGCGAGCGCGGGCGTCAAGGCTCAGTATCTGCTCGACAACAAGCTTGGCGGCGCCGTCTTCTGGGAAGCCGCTGGTGACCGCAAGGGCGAGGGGAGTCTGGTGGGTGTGTTGGCGAGCAAGATGGGCAAGCTCGATTCGAACCAGAATCTGTTGAGCTACCCTAACAGTCAGTATGCCAACATTAAGAGCAACCTAGCGTAAAAGGGGGCTCTGGGTAGGTGATAGTTATTTTGTATTCTCCCAAATGTGTTTTGGGTCATGTTATTAGAGGCGTTGGTTTGCGCTATGCTGCACTTCTTGACGGGATATGACTTATAACGAAGTCTTGGGACACGGGCTTTTAGCGATGCATATGAGATACGGCCGAATGAAGCCAATGAATTAGACGGCAGAATTCAAGTTTCACCGAGTTACCAAAGAGTATTTTGCTTGTGATGATTGGTCCAACAGTCAGTGGGCTAGGTATTCTGTGTTGGAAACTGACCAAAGTTACCGTTGAGTAGGCATAGCATTCACGTGGAAGCCAACCTACCTTCTTGATCAGTTCAGCTCCTCAGCACCACGGGCGACAGCTGAATTGCTGAAAATAGTCAAGGACTTTGGGACTTTTGTGATGCAGCTCAACGGGCGCACAAAAGAAGAAACAACAGCGGAAGTATGCCGAACGGTCGAGCACTACCTGCGGACGTGAGAGTGTTGTCATCGGACCCGAACCGTCTATCCACAACTGCCGACAGCCCTGGCTCAAGGCTTCAGTGCAAAGGTCGAGTGGACTACCTACCAACGCGGTGCGTTTTACGACGACTGCATGGCGATCGCCCGCGAGGAGCTTCCAGGGGCTTGGCTCAGCGCTTCGGCAGGAGCCGAGGACTGTATGAGTTTAGTGCTGACGGAGGGCGAATAATCGGTGATTTGGGACTCGACCGGGTCGCTCGCTGTAAAGGGGTTAGTTAGCCCCAAGGACCACCTACTGGCTCGATTCGATGGCCTAGACTTTGTTGTTGGTTCTCCATTCGAGCCTTGTAGGGTGTAGAAGTTTGAATAGACTTCTGTGCTCAGTTGGATTGTCGGACCGAGTTGCTGGCCTTGCCGTTCAACCCATTGTCAAGGTTTTGGTCCAAAGGAAAGGCTCGTCCCACCGAGCAAAGGCTCCAAAGTGGAAGCGACCCCTCACCGATGGAGGCCGGGGAGGATGCCGAGGCTGGCCGATAGATGGGCCGTCAATCCCAGAACAGTCTGTGGGAAACTGCCGACCTGGAGATGGGATGACGATGTTGATGGGTATGGCCGTCGTCACGATGGAACTCGACTTCAGATGGTTTTGCGTTCTTCGGCGATGAGTCGCTGACAAATCGAGGAAGAGAGGGCAAATTGGATGTCGGAATACGACTGGTACTCGGCGATAGAGTCTCAGGTTCTCCTGATGGTAACGGTCCATGGAATGATTATAGCTTGGGCACATGTGCCGTTTCGTCGACTAGATGAGTCACACGGCCAGCGACCGAGAAAAAGCGCACAAGAGTACCAATCGCACCTTTGTCGGCGTATGAGGAGGGGCAATTGGCGGTTGCGGAGGCAGCGGAGCACCCGAGAAGATCGGCGGAGGAGTTGGTTATCATGTTTAGGCTACCGTGTGTTCGTACGTGCCTGAATGCTTGTGTAACTGGTGCAAGTCAGACTGGCTGCTGGGCATAAGCATTCGACATGAAGTTGAGGTTGTCTGGTTTGTTGGTGTTGGTCGAACACCCAGAGCATCAGCCAATATTGGATCGGAGCGATAAGCCTGGGGAATTGGGGGGACTTGAGGTTGACGTCAAAAGGAAAGGATTCCTATTGGAGGGTTACATTGATAGACGGGCTATTCATCAAGTGGGGTGGTCTTTCTTTGACTCCAAGCCTCCAAGCCACCCCGCTTTCGTCATCAGCTCAGCTGGCGGACCGTGAGCCATGTATCCGTACTTTAGTTTTCCACGTTTGTCTTTTTGTCCGCCAGTTCCAGTGCTTGATTAAGAGCAATATTGCAATATTTTCGCCCAGGCTTGCCTTCATCTTTTGTGTGCGGGGTGATGGAGACAATGATGTTGCCTAGCGACTGTCCATCTCTTCATGACTCGAACCTTTTGCAGATAACCTAGGTAAGGTACCTACAGTAAGGTCAGTACTGCGTAAGTATCTAATGTCTTGTCCCATATCTCTTGCGTGTAAGCCGTTTATACGCAACAAGAATAAGACCGATGATGATCCGGCCGACGCCCAAGTCACTGGGCCATGGTAAGTCGGTTAGAAGCATCGTGCATGAGCTTGCACTATTCCGCATACCTCATAAGCTTTCGCAGAATGACTCTTGCGCTGTGCTGAATCTCTAACATGGCAACGTCAACCAAGGTTTCCAGACCAAAAACTGGATGGTCGTCGCTGACAGCGGTCCACTCTTAATTCCGTTAAGTCCGTCGCAGGTCCAGAATGCGGTTTTGAGCCGCTAGCACTCAAAGTTATTCAGGGTTCCATCCCAGCCAAGAAATTGCTGGAGACTTCCGACACCAAGCCTGGGGACTGGGTTTATCTTTTTACATTGGTACTGAAGTGCGCTTCGGGTTCCCTATTTGCTTACGGAGTATAGTATCCATATGCAGGCATACAATGCAGCTCGGATAGAAGCATGTAAGAGGCATGCACCTAATGTCTTTAGACCTAGAACGTGTGGGCAGCAGGGAGGGGTATGAACGCTCCCCGAATCATCCATCGCCCAATCCTTTTTGGATGAGCTTGTATCCGAATGAACTGTAAGATATGCGAGTGTCGGCAACCCACCACAACTCGAGAGTTCAGGACTTGCCAGGTGTGCTATGCCACCCTTGTCTGCGTTGCATCTTAGCGCCATCTGGACAGGGTTAGCTGTGAGTAGGCATCAACACACGCGTATGTAAGCCGTCCTGATCAGCAGAACCTCCAATGCGGCGACATTGCGGGACGAGAGGAGGGGAGCAGGTAGGAAGGAGACGAAGGAGCATTGAGGTGGTGGCGGGTCTCTCTCAGGTCTTCCCTTCACCCCCTTACGTACCTATCCACCCCTGCCTGTCGTTCGCTGATCATGCTGATGGCGGCCTGCGGGTGCTGTTCATGATTTTGTCGAATCTTTCGACTGCGATAGTATCCGTAGCAATCTCAACTCTTTCCCCTCCATCCTCTCTCTTGCTTGACCTTTGCTCGCCCACCCCGCAAGTCGCGCAACTGCTGCAGACGTTACACGGCAATTCCTCGACTTGGACCTTTCTCAATTCGTGGCTTGGTCATCATTCCATTTTCTTCCTTCGCGCAGAGTCTAGTACAGGGCAAAAGTACCCCCAAAGTGGTGAGTCTTGACTTGCTTGGGCAGTCAGGTTGTGTGGTCGCAGACCACTCGAATCCTTCCCTTGCCCCAACCCGAACCACCAAAAGCTGACGCCGCCGCCAAAGACGCGATCGCGATCGCAACCTTCCGACACTTCGCCTTTCTTTCGCCATCTTGTCGTTGCGCTGACTTGCGCTACCGCTTCCCGACACTTGCCACAAACACCTGCGGCATATCGAGTCTACCCTGCATTGCGCCCGCATCCCAACTTTGTGCCTCGACACCGACCCTATCTTGAGACCCTGCGCATTGCGGAACCTCCCACCGACTGCCATCTCCAATTGCTCCTTACCTTGCATCCGTACACGGGTCGACCGATCCGACCTACGATTCCCGTTGCCTGTCAGAACCTGTGGCAAGATTGCGCTTTTACTGTGGCGCCTTATCACATTGCGACACCGTCAGCAGCCTCGACGTCTAGCTGCCTTGCGCCCTTCGCCCTCTGCAAAGTAACGAGCTTCCCAAGCAGTCACTGACCTTTGAGGCGAAACCACGGTCATTGGTCTTATCCCAAGACTTCGGACTGTGACCAACGAACTTCGAGTAGCGCATCTTTGAAGGCCGGACGGTCACATTACTTGCGCTTCATACACTTGGCCGGGCCTTGTTGAAGTACTCGGCCACTGCACCAACCTGCCGAGACCGCTCCTCCGGGGTTAGGCTGCCGACGGTCTGGCCGTTGTCAACGTTTCAGTGGCTAAATTTGTACACTCATCCTGAGTGTCTGACAGCCAACTCGTCGAGCCCTTTACCCTTGCCTCGCCGTATAAGGGATCTTTGTCGGCCAGTGCCATCACTGGTTCCGAAGCGAAGAGTATACACCTGCGTGTGTTGTGCTAGATAGGACTTCGAGTCCGGAGCACGTTTTCATATCCGTGGAAGCCATCGCCAGAGGTCTTTTACGACGCAGCTACCTGTTCCACGGATTCCATTGCCATCATGACTCCCACACCACCATCCACGACGCCCTCCTCGGGATCAGGTCGGTCACCCGAGGAGCAGTTCCGAGTCGTGAGGAAGAGGAATAGAGTACCTCTCAGCTGCTATCCGTGTCGGACTAGGAAGTGAGTGCCAGATAAATACCCCATATCGACTCAACTCGCTAACTTGCTTCACAGATTGTGAGAAAAGATTCACGGCCCGTCACACCAACGCAAACTGACCGATTTGTAGGAAATGTGACAGAGGTCACCCGTGCAGCAATTGTGTAAAGCGTGAGGGTGGTGACGCGTCCTCATGTTCATACGCAACTCCTGCTACTCGTAAAAAGAACCAAAGTCAAGGCTCTTCGAGCCCCGATGACATGCAGAACCGTATTGACCGTTTAGAAGGCCTAGTCTTGTCTTTGATGCACGGAGGTGCTACTATTGACCCTTCTACCGCAGCAGCAGCGGCCGCCGTGACAGGCGCCTCGACAACCAAGTCGAATACTGACAGCACACCTACCTCGGCCAAGATTGATCCCGACGACGAGACGCAAATGCGAGATGACGACGAAGACAGTGATCCCGATGGCGAGCTAGCGACATCTTTGGGCGTATTGAAGGTCGACTCAGATAAGGGCAAGTCAATGTATATTGGCCAGGAGCACTGGCACACGATATTGGCGGACATATCCGAAGTCAAGACATATTTTGCGAATCACAAGAAGGATTTGGAAAAGAGCTATGAAAAGGTCATGATGTCGAAACCGGCCAGCGCCAGAGAAGGACCTACGTTTTTGCTTGGAGCCGCGCCAGCTACCGAGATCGAATTGCGAGCAGAATTACCACCCAAATCGGCCGTCCTTGCGCTCTGTTCCAGATACTTCAACTCGATGGACAATGCGGTTAACATCATCCACGCGCCGACTTTCCAGCAACAACTTCGAGCCCACTGGCAAGACCCGTCAAAAACGCCCATCATGTGGCTTGGGTTGCTCTATTCGATCTTGTGTCTCGCCATGCTGAGCTACCACAAGGTAGGGGACGAACCGCCGGAATGGAAGGGGCGGACGCTGGATTTGGCTTCTGAGTATCGACTACGCACCGTCCAGTGCCTGATTGCGGCTGATTACACCAAGCCGGTGGAATACACCGTGGAGACGATGCTTC